GTTGTTCAAATATTCATGTCGCTAATATATATAAAAATTTACAAAATTTAATGATTATGACTATGTTTCGTAAGCTCACCCTTGCGTTTTATTTATGGTGTGTTTTGCCATGATCATACTGTGGTACGTGAGCAGAGAGAACAGATACCATAGCTTTAGAATATTTTGTTAGTTTAGGTTAGATAATAGATTTAGAATATTTAGCTACACTTGAAAAGATGTAATTATTATTATGTAAAGGTTTTGTATTTCAAATTCCATATGGGACCATAGTTGTAAATATACATGTTGGTATAATTTCTAAATTATATAAAAGTGTCTTTGAGATTTTATTATCTTAATGGTTTGAATGATAGAGTTGTAAATACATTATAAGTTATATTATATCTCATGGGTGGATTTGAATTAAAAATAGTAATTTAAGATATTGTGGATTCTGTACAAAAAGAGGACGTGACATCTTAAATAAATTTTAATAAAAGGAAAAAAAAGTGCTTTATTCCCTTTGGTACAATCATATTGTAAGTTTTAAAATTGTGTAATATAATCCATGTAATTATCAAATTGTACAAAAAAATTAATTCAGTTAATGAGATATCTAATCTAATTTAATTATTAACTCCTTATGTGCTTTTGACATTGGCTAAAATACCTCATTTTAAATCTAATTTACAATTTCTAATCTCTCGAACTAAGATGCACATCTCTCATTTGTTATTATGCATTTTTTTTATCTCAAACCTTATTATTTTTCAATCTTACCTGATCTTTACAATGGTTCTTTAAATCTTTTGTCCCAAATTTTGTCTTTCTTCGTCCCTGCCTTATTTAAGTCCAATTAGCAAAGAAGATTAGGATTCCAACAAAGAAAAAAGATCAATAAAGATAAATGAAGAAGAATATGAACAAAGGTTAAGACACGCGAACAAGAAAATAAAGGAATAATAAAATGGAGAGTGATATATCAACTAGAAGCAAAAGTTTATCAAATTTTAGTAGCCATGTTTTATCATATTTTTGCAGTTGCAGCCTTCCCTTAGGGTTGCAAATGTCTTGGACTAAGTAAATTTAAGTAGGAGATTTTATGGTGTTATGATATAGGAGTATTTTTGTCCAATGATATATATATATAAAAGAACCTAGAAAGTTGATGATCAAATTGAATGTCTTAGAAATAAAAATATTTATTCTCAATTTAATAATTATAAGAAATTATGTTCCACAATTTAAAATTTTAATATCTTAATTGAATAGGACCAAAAGTATGGAAACTAAAACCTCCTTTTTTTTTGTGATAAAAATATAAAAAAATTGTAAAATATTAAGTTTGTAGGATTCCTATTAATAATATAATATGAGTGTGTTGACTATGACTCTATTTAAATAGATTTTTTAATATATTTACTATTATTATAAAAAATTATATTTTAAATAAAAACTACTTAAATAAAAAGAATATATACCCTAAAAAATAGCGAACATACCAAAATTGTATTAAGAGATATTTGAATTCCTTTTTGACTTCAATTTTGATTTATTTATGGCATTAGCCACACACACACACACATATATATATAAATTATCCTAAATATGATAAAAAAAAATCTAAATTCTCTCCAGTTTGCATAAAAATTGGATGTCTAATTTTTTTTTTATTTAAGTGAATTTTGAAGTAAATATAAAATGGTAGTTTTGATACTCGCTTAAGCGAGATAAATTCGTTTAAGTGAATATCTGCTTAAGCAAATATTAAAATGTAAAGCAAAAATTTTACAGAGAACACAATCTATCAGACATCTCATCTCACTTAAGCAAGATAAATTATGCTTCAACAAATCCTTATTCGCTTAAGCAAATTATAAAATTCTTAAGAAAAAATTGGACAGAGAGCACCATTTTTCAAATATCGCTATAAGCGAAGCTTAAATAGTTTAAGCGCATAACATAGAATTTAAAAGAAAAAAATATATATCAGAAATGGGTAATCTAAGCCTAATATAAGTAAATACAATAAAATTTAAACATTGTTAAATATCAATACAATGTTTTTGAAGAAACAAAGGGATAAAATCAATATGTGCAATAAAGGAAAAATAAACATTGTGTTACATGAAGGAAGTGTTTACACTTGGGATGTAGAGTATTCAACTAAGAGAAAGTTTAAATTATGATTTAAAGGCTTGTATGAAGCTTAGTGTTGACATAAAATTAATTGTTGCACACTTTGAATGTGTGGTTGAAGACAAGTATTACAATGAGATAATCTATGAGTATAGTCTTGCCATAAACTAACAATGTTGAGATATAAGATGTCTTCTATAATACAAATAAGTAAAATTTGCATGCATATTATTTTTAATATATTCCAATGAGAGTTCACTTTATTTTTAACCTGGTGCATATAAAAAATAAATAAATCTCTCTCTTTATTTGAATATATCATTACTATAATTAATAGAGATAGATCATAGAAAGTATCATTCAATCATGCCTTGAATTTTATATGTTGTAGTGGTAGAAAATTTGAAATATTTGACATTCTTTGTTTTCATACCTTGAATGTTTTTTATGCAAACATTGTTAAAGTTGCGTTTAAAAAATATATCATTAATAGAAAATGGACAAGAGAAGGTCGTTCTGCAATTATACACAATATTAAAGGAAGAGAGGATCAGGGGATCTTAAACTTGCTATCACATAACGATAACGATAACTAGCTTTTAAAATGATTAGACTTGCATATGAGGTATCTAGTTTAGAAGAATATTCTTACTTGATAGAAAAATGTATAAATGTAGTGCTTTATCAAATCACACAACTTCGTTAAAAGAAGAAAATGGTGAGAGTTACAATGATGACGCCCTACATTGATCATCAATGATAGTACATAACAAAAAGTTTCATACAGTGCCCAAGCATGAGAAGGAATAGGTGTAGATGAATAAAAAATTAAGTTGAATTACAAGAAAAAAAAAAGAAGAAAAAAAGAGCCCCGTAAGAGGTCAATCTTAAAGCCAACATGTTAAGGTACATATCTTAATGTATTACATATAAATAAGTCTATTTCTCAATTATTAACTATATGTGCATCAATTTGTCAATGTTTTAGTAATATCAACCTATTCCTTTTGAACATTGTGAATTTGTGATGTCCATTGTTAAGCACCTTCATCTTATCATTCATCTTATACTTTCAACAATAAATTCAATTTTACTACATTATTGATAATAAATTCATAAAATTACAAAGTTATATTTTCTTACTTTATTATATAATATTTTATCGAATTATTTTGTTTTTATAAGAATTTTTAGTGGCACAACTCGTTCAATCATTAATCAATCTAATAATATTTGTACCTTGTTTATTTTGTTTAATGTTCATTGTAATAATATAAACATTGAAAATGTAATTAATAACTTTATCTGATGTATATATTCTATTACTTGTATTTGCTTATGTTTTGGCTTACATGACCAATTTCTAATATAATTTTTTTTCTTTAAATTTTGCATGATTTGCTTAATTTACTTAAGTGCACTTGATTTGGTTAAGTTATTTTTTATTTGTTTAAGTAATTTAACTTTGCTTATATTATTTAAATTTTACTTATGAGAATCTTTAAAAATAATATTTTTTAATCTAATTTTTAATAAAAAATTTATTATTCGCTTAAGTGAATTAAAATTTGTTAAAACAGGATTTATCTTGTTTAAACGAGTTGAAATATCTAATAAATTATATTTTCTGTCTATTTTCTTTTAACATTATTATTAATACTTGTTTATACAAATTTATCTATCTTAAACGAGTATCAAAATTACCATTCTATTTACTTATGCTAATATATTTTGTAGTTTAATTAATCTTTTATGCGTAAGTAAAATTTTTTAAATTTATTAATGTGAAAAAATACATATATTTTTAATTTTTTTAAAAATACAAACAAATATACTTTAAACGTCTAATTTTTTTTTAAATAGGAAATAACTCAGGTTTTAAAAAAATAAGGTTATAAATTACTCCATTGTTAAGCAATTCTTTAATAATTATTATCATTTCTTTAGTTAAAAAAACTGATATTTGTCACGTGTTTCTTGTTTTTGCGGGCCCAGCATAAGGGGCATTAATTTTCGGACAGCCGTATTGGGAATTCAGTGACACAACTGTTACGGACTCAAAATATTTGTATTATTTTGTTATCTTTGCATAGGTCTTATGAAAATAAAAAAGAAAAGTTTTTTTAATCATATTTATCATATTAAATATAATTAAAAATATTAAAAAAGATATGTCAAATATTTTAAACTTAATTTTTTATTTTTATAAAAATTATATATTTTAAATTTATTTTTTATAAAAAATTTGTTATAATATATTTTTTATTTTTCTTACAAATTATTTAGGTTATCTAAAAATATTATTAAACATTAATTTTATATTGAATAATGCCAGTTAAAAAAATTAAAAATAATAATTCGTGAAAAAATAAAAATTATTTATTAACAAAATATGAAATTAATTTTAAATTGTGTAATTTTAATAAAAACAAAAATTAATTAAGGTATCACTTTCTTCGGAATGGAAAAAAGTTCCATACTTTTATTGAATAGTTGACTACAATAAACACGTTAAATATTGAATTTATATTCATTCAAATTCAAGTAAAGTAATAGAAGAACTCAAACGGGAAGCACACCGGTATGAAATAATATTAATATGATTTTACAGAATGTCTTTAAACGAAAACTTGTATACTTTATCAATTAACAATTTAAAATTAAACACTTCAATGTAATATTAAGAATAATTTCCTTTATCCGTTCACAATACTTTTTTCATATATTTAAATTCTTAGCAATAGTCTGTGTACACTTGTTTTTAATTAATATAATTTAAAATGATAATTATTTGAAGAGATTCCCTGTGAGCTGAGCCAGCATCTACGGAGAACCGGCTCAGCTACCATTTAAAAAGCGTTGCCTTCTTCTTTCTCGTTGTCCTCATTGATTTTTCATAGATAAAAGTTCTTCTTCCTTCTTTCCTTTCCCTCATTTTTCTCCCAAAACTGACTCAACCCTGCTTTTCAAAACTCACGCGAAGGGAACACGCTACTTCCACTTATAAGTACCGTAGCCGTAGCACAGGGAGAATAAAAGTAAGACACGTGACGTTATTTTCACTCGCTTCAATTAAGACTTGCTTTCTCTAGTTTGGGGGTATGGCATGGGCAAAGAAGCAAAGTGTAGATTTTATGAGGTGGTTGGTGATGGTGATGTTATTCGGTGTTTGGTGTTTGTGTTTGTTCTCCACGCCCGTTGTAGAAGCCAAGAGGAATGCGTATGCTACGATGATGTACGTAGGTACACCGAGAGACTACGAATTCTACATCGCCATACGCGTCCTACTCAAATCACTGACTAGGCTCAAAGTCGAAGCCGATCTTGTTGTCATTGCTTCTGTTGATGTCCCTCATCGATGGATTCGAGCTCTGTAAGTTCTACTCTTTTCATCAATTTTTTTTTAAACTTCTTCTTAATTAGCGTTTTCTTGTTCATATTCTATGTTTCGGTTATAGTGTTGTATTAATCTAGTTGTTCCTCGAAATTCGGTTGATTTAAAAAAAAATAGAAAGAAAGAGATTGATATGAAGGAGGGAATATAAGTGAGAAATCAAAAGGGGTTCATAATGACGATAAGGTTGGGGAATTGGGACCGTTAGTTTGGTTAGGTTAGGGTAGATTTGATTTTCTAGTGACAGATCACAATGTTTATGGGTTTGTGGTCATGGATGTCCACGTCCTGGTCAGGTTTCAAAATCCCAAGTTCCATTAACGCTTGCCTGGGTCCACATTCATTTTATGCATCGTTCGGCTAGAGAGGGGAGAGTAGAGAACAATTTTTTTAATTTAGTTTTATGAAGAAACAAACAGAAGATTTTTAATGGTGTGATTTTTATTTTTTAATAATAAAAGGATTTATTTTTCTTCCTTTTTAAAATATTGACGAGTTGTAGCAATAAGCTGTCACATGTGTTGAGGTTGAGGGACGGAGATGTTCTTAGGTGCTTTGAGATTGCGCGTGAAGTTCAAGAGGGTTTGACGATGTTTTCAACCCCACCTCGTCCTTGAGAAGTGGGATGCTTGTTCTGGTTCTTTCGTGTCTTGTTCCTATTTGGTTCTTGCTTCTTGCTGATTAGTTTATTCATAGAAGTCATTAGTATTTTGTTCACTACTTAATTAGCATATCAGTTTAGCTGTATTTCTTTTCTTATCTTTCTGGTAAATTATCTTCCTATTTTATAATATAAGTATTGAATAAATAGATATTATCTTAAAAATATAGAATATATTTGATATTTTTCTTTATTTAGTAATTAGAAAATTTATAAAAATAAATGACAAAAAAATTAAAATTATTCATATATTAAACTTCAGTGAAAGTATTGTATAAGTCCAAAGTATCTTATAGTTATAGTTGTAAATAAAATAATTGTGTTTTAGTAAATTATAATGTAAAAACTTGACTACTTCGAAAATATATATTTTTTATACTAATGATGGTACAATATAAGCTAAGAATAATTAATAAATAAGAAAATGTTAAATACATTTTATATTTTAAGATAATAAGTATATGTAATTTTTTATTTAATTTGTTTTTATAAAGTAAAAAAAAAATATTATGAAGAGGATAAGTAAGAAGTTATAGTCAAGCTTCTAATATATTTATAATTCATAATTGTAGATGATATAGAGGGTATCCATTATCCAACATAGTATTTTTGTATTAGTAAAAAGATACCTGAGAATAATCAATGAAGTATAAAGTAAACAATAAAAAGTAAACACTTTAACAAAAAAGAAAGCACACATTTTCAAATAATTTGTGTGGGTTAATTAACAAAATATTTTATTATATATATATATATATATATATATATAGGTAGGTAGACTTAAATTTATAACACATTTAGTTTTTAATTAGCCAAAAACAATATGGATATAATAGCAAGAAAGAAAAAAACAATATGGATAAAAAAAATACAGTAAAATGCAAATATTTTTAAACAGTAAACATATAGGTTAGTAATAATTTTAAATTTTTTATATCACATTTTTATACTAGCTTTATATTTCTTTTTGTTATTTCTCTCCATTTGCATTATTTATTAAGTTTATAAATAAAAAGATTGGGTACCGCTCCTCAAAGTGCAATTTAGGAAGTATGATAGAGGAAAGAAAAAGAGATGTGATGAATTTTTATTTTTTGAAAAAGTAGCAAGTATATAAAGAGATCTTAAATATCAAGAGAATATACGAGTGAAAATATTAGATTGTTAAATCTATTATTACCTCTTTCTTTCTTCCTCTAAAAGGTCTATACTTTCCATAGAGGAGTAGAACATATTGTAACAATAACTATATGCTTTTTATTTTGCAAATGTTATTAACAGTTTTGATAATATTAATTAAAAGTATTTGATTTATTTATTTAACATTTTTACCAATTTTAAAATAATTATTAAATGATTTTATGTTTTAAATAACAATAAATAATTTTTAATACGCTTTATTTACTTAGAACTTTTAATGTGTTTATCAACTTTATTAAATGATTTTAATTGTTTGAAAAAAAAAGTACAAGTATTGATATGTTTTTAATACAATAAGAATTTTTTGCTATGAATATTTATTGAGAAACATTTAATGCATTTTATGCAATGTTTTTAACTGATTGAAAAAGAAAACCTCAACTACTTTATTTATTTTGTATAGTACAATGAATGCATCTTTCTCATTATATATATATATATATATATATATATATATATATATATATATATAATTTTTGTTCATTCACTCTTATAAATTTCGACTCTTCCTTTAAAAATGGAATAGTATCTATACGTATTTTTTTTTCATATAATTTTTATATCTTTCTTATTTTAGGATATATTTTATATCAAACCAGAGCAGTATCTTCTTTCTTTAATTAAATTATCCAATCAAAAGTTCAATTTATTTTTAAAATTTATATCTTACATTTTACCTGTATTTATAAATAGCTGTGCAATACATGATGAATTTATTACTTAGCCGGTTTTCTTATTCTTTTGATACATATATAAAAATCATATGTATTTTATTTAAAATTTTTCTTAAATAAAATTTAATACAAATTTCGACATCATATGTATTTTTTTACAATATATTAACTAAAATCTCTTAATCTATATGATAGGCATTAATAAGTGTTAATGACTATTCTGTGGGAGTTGATTCTGAAAATAAAATTTATTATATATTAAAATTTATTTAATATTTATTATCAAATAATATAAAACATTTAATAAAATATTAAATATTCTTTATTTAGTTTTACTCCTTAATACTGCCTTTAATTTAATATAACTTTGAAAACCATTTTTTGTATAAATGTATAATGAATTTGTTATATTGACTAAGTTAATATTTTAAAATTAAAAGATTAATTTTATGTATTTTACATACTTATAGGTCTAATTTGAGCAGTGAAATGTTAAAAATGTTTAAAGAAAATAATATGTTTTATGTTAAAAAAGTATTAAAATTGTATATAATTTAATTATTTTATAATTCTAAAAGAAAGTAAAATATATTAAATAATCATGACTATTATTTTATGGTATTCATTAATAATTTTCTTTCAGTAAAATTCTTTTTTTAATAAAACCACTGCTTAACATTAATTTTAATTAATAAAAGTGAGAAAATCATTAAAAACAAAAATATATATTATATCAACAGTATACAAATTTAATAAAATATTTTTTTTGGTTGTATAAAATTAATTCTAAAATTTGATAGTATCATAATAACAAAAGATCAACCTAAAACAGTAAATAATGATAATAATCTGGTATTGACGATATTGCCTTGCACTGAAGTATACCCCGTCATTATGTCGATTCCAAACATGATCTATTTCTTAAGAAAAAAATATTTAGTTTTTCGTTGATAAATTTTATGTACAAGTTAGATGTTTGTAAATGACAAATTAGATATGCACTAATTACACAATTTTGTATATTCCAAACATGGGTAAAATGTTTTACACTTTCACGGGTAAAAGAAAGCGCGTACATTTTTTTTTGTCTTTTTTAATAGAAATAGTTGCGTGACACACGTATTTTTCACTTCTATGGTTAAAAGCAAAGCACCTTTCATGTCATAATATTTTGTTCTCTAATTGTGTGGTACTGGTGGCACGTCATTTGTAGTGGAATTCGTAGAATTTTCTGCTGTTCTATCACATTCCTCATTTCTTAATATTATCACTAATGCAATCATGCATTACTTCATTGTTGTTGACATCAATATCTTGTAATACTTTACTGTGCTTTACTAACAAACGTTTACTACTAGTAACCCCACCCAAAACCCCAAGCCTCTCTATCAGTACTGATCAATCTTTTAGTTGAATAAACTCACTTACGATTTATTATATATCGTATATTACATGCTTTTATGAAAATAAATATATGTTCATAAAGATACATTAATGTATTTTTTCGTTTTTGTTCTATCAAATAACATTACCAGTTTTGGTTCTTATAGTGCTTTTCTCTTTTGGTCTGTATACTTTTTTACTATTAGGATCAATAATGAAAACTATAAAGATTAGTGCATATTTAATTTGTCATAATTGATAAGATAGAGGAATATTTTGTGGGAATATCTCCGCACGCTAGAAAGGTGAGATTAGATGAGATTAACCTTATGTTTAGAGTACAAAACTGTCCCTTCTTAGAGGTACTGTTTTCTCGAATTCAATTCAAACCCTACTAGTCCCAGATTTACACGTCGTTCAGTTTTATTAATTTCTTCAAAGCATGGAGGAATCATAAGGATGAACAGTGTGTGCTAATTTGATTACCGGGATTTGTCTTATCTGACTTTTCTCAACCTTCACTAAAAAAGTAGATAGGGAATGGCTCATCATATTTTGATCCCTAATCCCTTGGCTAGAGGAACTCCCAACATCTAGTTTTTCACTTTATTATATTACTAATCAGAGCAGATAGTCACTGAAGCGACTTTATTATGTTTTTATCATCTAAACGACTTTGTTTTTGTTACACATATTTTAAAGTTGGTGGCTTTAAAAATGGAAAACATAAAAAGTTTATTCTAAAAGGCTTTGCATAAAGTAAAGGCTAATGAATGAAATTAAAGAGAGAAAAAGAAGGTGACGAGATAACCAATTTGTTGGAGTACCCCTGACCGTATCCAACTTAAGATATGATTAATATCAAGAACTAAAGTTAAAAGAAAAAGTTGAATGATATATAATAAGAGTTGATGACTAAAAGGAGTATTTATTTATTCTTAAAAAAATGGTTGGCTTTTAATGGGATGGAAAAGACAAGTTCACTTGCGTGTTGAAAGTATAATATGTTATGTGGATTGTCCAGGGAAAAGGAAGATGGTGCGAAAGTAGTGAGAGTGGAAAACATGGACAATCCATACAAGCATCAAGATAATTTTGACAAGAGATTCAAATTATCGTTGAACAAACTGTACGCGTGGAGTTTAGTGGACTATGACAGAGTGGTAATGTTGGACGCTGACAACCTCTTCCTTCATAAAACCGATGAATTGTTTCAATGTGGACAATTTTGTGCGGTCTTTATCAATCCTTGTGTCTTCCACACTGGCCTCTTCGTCTTGCAGGTACCCTTTGTCCAAAACCCTCTTCATTTCAATATCTGCGAAACTGCTATGTAACTCCAATCTATGCATTTCACATCATTATTGCTCCCTTTAAATCCTTTTCTTTTACGGTTCATTTTAAACCGATTTTAAACAGTCACTTTTTTTTATTAAAAACATTAATATTTATGGTCATAAATATTTTTAATGAAAATTTATTCTAAATTCTATGAGTTGAAGTATTCTATATCAATAGTATCAAACTGAGGTGGTTCGTTTGTGGGGAAGGAAAATTAATAATTAACTTTCGGGTGTCACCACAGGATGATTTTCCAGATACTTCTTTTGTTATATATTATTTAACTTTTTGAGTTTTTACTTTATCTTAAAAATTAAGAAAGTATAAATACTTTTTTTCCTTCTAAATATACCCTTATTTGTTCGTATTTTATCTAAATTCTTAACTCCATTCTAATTCTTCTAATAAGTGTATATTTGTAAAAATCAATTTATCATATTAATTTATGTAAAATTAATAATTTTAAATGTACTTTGAAAGATAAAGAGTATGAGATAATAATAATAATAATAACATCTTATCAGTGTATAAAAAAAATAATGCTAATGGGTTCCCTTAAGATGCTAATAAAGGAAGTAATAAGAATTCAATACAAATATTTATTATCAATAAAAATACAAAAACAATTGAATTTTGTTAATAGTTTCCTGAAAGAGACTGGTTAAAAAGTATTAAATATAATTTATTAATCATTTTTTTACTTAACTTGGACAAATAAATATTAAATGACTTTTGTGCGTCCATATTATTAATTCTCTTTTTTAACAAAATATTTTTGCTTTGTTTTCTTTTGTTACCGTATTATTTACGTCTTGTTTGATTTATAAAAATATTTTATTTTCATAAATAATTATAAAATGTTACTTTGTTTTCACTTTATTTCTTATTTTTAAAGGTAAATAGTAAAACCAAAATTAACTTGTTTTCCTTTTTCTAAAAGCAAAGTAGGATTTTTATAATTATTTTTTAAAATAAAAGCAGTAAACCTTTTTCAAAACCAGGCTTTTAATACTTATATTTATGCAATTAAAAACATTTCATAGAACATATGCTGGTCAGGGGATAAATTTTTTATACATAAAAAAGTAGAACATTTTAAATGCTTTTTTCAGAGCATTACAATTATCAAGACCTTTTTTTTAATTTAAAAGTGATAATTAATTGTAATTGATCTCTATCATACGGGTTCTAATCATTTAATATTTACAGCCATCAATGGCCGTGTTCAAGGACATGGTTCATGAATTACAGAATGGGAGAGAAAACCCAGATGGTGCTGACCAGGGTTTCATAGCTAGCTATTTTCCAGAGTTGCTTGATAAGCCAATGTTTTATCCACCTTCAAATGGCACCAAGCTTGATGGAACATATAGGCTCCCTTTAGGTTATCAGATGGACGCTTCTTACTATTGTAAGTAAATCACTGAAAAGAAATGAAATATTCACCTTTTAAATTTTGAAACTGCACTTGTTAATGCTTAATGCAATCTATTTTAAATGCTAATATTGATCCTGATTTTAGATCTTAAACTTCGCTGGAGCATACCCTGTGGACCAAATAGTGTGATCACATTCCCAGGGGCACCATGGTTGAAGCCATGGTATTGGTGGTCGTGGCCTGTCCTGCCATTAGGCCTCCAGTGGCATGATCAACGTCGCCAAACTTTGGGGTAAGGTCCATCATAATGCTGTTTTCATTTTTCTTATCCGCTAATTGTAAATAAATGATGATGGCAGTATTTTATGATTAACATTTTCAACCTGAAGACGCTGCATTTTGGACTATGGGCGTGTTTGAAAGAATTTATTGAAAAGTTATTTAAGCTGATAAAAATAGTTTTTAACTTGACTTTTATAAGTTTTATTTAGTAAAATAAGCTCATGGTCGTTTGATTTTAAGAAATATTTTGTTTTTATTCTATTTTTTATTTTCAAAGATTTGTAAAAAAAATTAACTATTTTGCCCCCAAATGTGACCTATTGTAAACGTTGGCCTATTATTTAGTGCAGGTATGGTGCAGAGATGGCTGTGATAGTTATTCAATCGGCAATATATTTGGGAATAATAGCAATGACACGATTTGCAAAGCCAAGCCTCTCAAAGCTGTGCTATAGGCGCTCTGACAAGAGCATCAACCTCGTACAGAACATCCTCAAACTAGTAGCTTTGTGGAGCATTCTTGCAGCATACACAACACCCTTCTTTATCATTCCTCAAACGGTTCACCCTTTGTTAGGCTGGCCTCTATACTTGCTTGGTGTTTTTGCACTATGCTCCATTGCAATTAATACCTTTCTGCTGCCAATGTTACCTGTTTTGATGCCATGGCTTGGGATAACTGGGGCATTGATGGTCATGGCATTTCCTTGGTATTCAGATGGTGTAGTTAGAGCATTGTGTGTCTTTGCTTATGCATTCTGTGCTGCACCATTAGTGTGGGCATCTATGACCAGAATATTAGCAGGGCTTCAGCAATCTCTAGAAAGGGAAGCATTTCTACCAAGATTGGGAGAATCTTCGCCACCTTCTTGGTTTAACAAGTTATACTGAGCTGTCTAATTGGGCATGATACATTGTTTGGGACATAGAATAGAAGGGCCTTCTTGACAAGCTCATTGAAAATTGAAGGGGCATAATAAGTACCCCACATATTGTACACAGAACCGAGAGAGGTTTTTGGTTCACTTTACTTGTTTGTGGGGGAGGAAGTACCATGGAATTAGCACCATTACATTAAGACTTTACGATTGAAATTATACATTCTTTTGGAGCGAGAGGATCATGATGCACCTAGTAGGAGGAACAGGACGAGGAGTTAGTGTGTACATAAAGATTGTTTTGCTATTGTTCACATATATTTTGTATGCTTTGCTCGATTGGTTCGGCTTACCACTCTATAATACTGCCTTAGACTAGCATTTTACTCTTACCCCTTATAAAAGGAGTCTACGCTGCACTTGGGCAAAATATCAATTGCTTTAACTAAATGAATGGTAGCAAATTATATATATATATATATATATATTGGTATAGATAATTAAATATATGACGAGTTATAATTTATTATTTTATTGATATTAAATAAAAAGTTCAAAATGTAAGTTTTTAAATTTATATTAATATAAAAAGATCATATTTATATATATATTACTTTTTATTGTTGAGAGAGTAAGTTTCAGTTCATTTTAACTTTAAGGTTATCATATATTTTTTAAATTAATTACGTAATTTTTTTCACTTCTAAAATATAAATTTACTACCTCTGCCTTTTCGAATCCTACTAAAATCTCTCTTTTTGATAATTAACTTTGATTTATTGGTAGTTCGCTCACATCTAATACGGTCAAGTGAATAAATTGATTTTTTTTAATGTGTTTTCTCTCATATTTACATACTTTTCAATAAAAATTTAATCAATAATTTAATAATCATAACCATGCCATGATTGACCTAAAATTAAAATGAATTGAATGATTTAAACTTTTGTTATACCTAATGTTAATGAATCTTTGCCTAGGGAGTCCAAAGACGGGACCAATTAGGCTTGCAAGAAAAGAAATAAACAAATAGGCTTAAGATCAAACAGAAAATTAAAGAAAGCCCAAATTAGTCAAAGCTCTTTATTTATTTTAATTTTTAGTTTCTTTTAGTACCATAGCAGAACAGTTTGTACTTCGTATGTAGTTTCTGTTAAACATGTTAAGCTTAGATATATTTTTTTCCCTTTTTTTTTTCGCTAAAGATATATTTTTATTCCTTAAATGAATGATACTATTTTATTTTATTTTTTAAAAGAACTGATTTTTTTAGTTGCTAAAAATTATAAAACCATGTATTTTAATCTTTAGTGAAAGACTAAAGTCACATTGATTTTGCTAAAACGAGAAAATAAAAATAAATAACACTTTTATATAAATTTAGAGTAAACATATGATATTTTAAAGATAAAAAATATATTTAAGTCAATGATGCCATCACTCCAAACAAAATTTAAAGCATACATTTTTATTGTTATTGTAGTTTTTATTTTTAATTAAAAAAACGGGTAGTATATTCAGGTGTTTATCGTTGTTTTCACAATTTTTTTAAAAAATTCAATGCATTTCATGGGTTGTAAAATGTCCTGAAATTTTTTTTTAATATGTAAATCAAAGGAAAGCAAGATTTATTTATTTATTTTTTCAGAAAAAGCGGTCATTTAATAATTCTCATGAAAACATTAAAGTGTATTAGTTGCCTTTAATTATTTAAGGCATCAATCACAAGGTAAGTTCAAATTTCATCATTTTAGATATTTAGCATGGATTACATACTATATAAGTAAAAAGGATTATAATAAGTTTAAGTATATTTTTAATCCTTGTAGTTTATTATATTTTAATTTTAGTTCCTAAAATTGTGCTTACGGCTACGGCTAATGATCACAATTGGTGCTTTTTAGTCTTGCAAATAGCTTATCATACTCATTAGGTACATCATATTCAGGGATCTCAAGAATGATGGGAAATGATTCTCAAAAATTCAGAAAGCAAATATTGTTTGCAACAAGCAACTCGTAATATCATTGCTTGCAGAAAATGTTAATAGACAAGTCCTCATCATATACAACTTTAATCAGAGGCTATAAAATGTAGGTTCCTCATAACCTTATATTAAGTAAGGAAAGAACAATTTGTAGCGCATAAAACTGTTTTATTCTGACAAGTGAAAATTAAATATTCCTAAGAACCTGTAAACCAGCGGCTACCACATTGTAAGAGCGAAAAAATAGCTTCACATTATACAACAACTTGGTTGAGACTGAGAGTCAAGCATTTCTGGAGATCTGCGAGAGAAAATGCTCATATCAGTTGATGCCGCAAACATACAGGAATGTAGTTTGAAAACTACAAGATATAAATATAGTGACCACATTTCCAGAAAACTAAAAGAATAAAATGACAAATAAACCATTTTCATTTTTTAAATAATATATATTGAAAAGCACCTTCATGAGGGAGGAGGATGGGTAGCCTAGTGGAGGATGAAACCTTTGTGTCGCAGTTCATTCCTCAACTAGGGTCTACTCAATTCTGCATAAAATTGTGGCTTTTATATGGTGATTTAATACCAAGTTAGGCAGTAGTAATTCCCCACAAGTTAGGTCACTGAATTCCTACTACATGTAATGTGACGTGTTATGCTACCACCCCCCTCAACAAAACAAAATAAAATAAAAGACAGACTTTTACAGATCATAAGTTGCCAAATGTTGGCGTGAGTGCTGAGTGAATATCAACCATAAACTTGAACTTGATATTTTGTGCATCACCCTATGAACAGCTGCTCTACAGTTAACTAATATCTATTAGTTAAAATTGCTAGACAAACCATTCATTTATTTGAATTTGAGAAATGCTAGCACCGCACTCTTTATTAGTCATTAAAATTTAATGATATTCACAGTGCGGAGTAATAAATTAATGCATGATCATGCATGAGGGTCTATTTAAACATAAGAACACAAAGATTAATGTTAGAAGTACACAGTGCGGCAAACACTGCTTATGCCCTAAGCTTGCATTTCCAAGATTCCAAGGGAACTTACAACTGGCCAAGACTGGCTAAATCGAAATCAGGAGCAAGCTCCTGGACAATATCATTCGGTGGTTGTCCGCATTCTTGCATTTTCTGCATGAGCTCAACAATCTTGTTGAAGTTTGCAGGATCATTCTCGTAAACTTCATTAAGATTTTGTATCAGTTCATACTGATGTGAATACCGTTCATATTCTTCTTTGCTTAAATTGGTTTTATGCTCTTCCAACCACTTAGGATATCTTTCTCCTATTTCTTTCATTGGTTCATGAAGAATCTCCTTGGACAGAAGCTGCTGCATCATGGTCTCCACAATAGATTCCATGTCCTAAACAAATTAATCACAATATTAGCATTAATTCCAGGAAAGAAAATCAAGATACAGTATTTTCATGATGAGAAATTCCAAAGGAGCCCAGTAAATAGTTAAATCTTTGATGACCTTAATCACTTTTTTCCTCACAGTAAAAAGTAAAAACTTGTAGCTAACTTTGCAAATTATTTTGGCTCAGTTTGGTGTGCTTCTCCCTCATCTCATATTCAATAGAAGATATAAAAGAGGGTATGTTAATAAATGAAAGCAGTATTTCAGGATTCATGGTTGCTTCACTCAGCTATCATATGTCACTTTGCTGATTCTCCATGTGGACCTCAGCAAAAAGACGCATTAAATGCACATGGAAGCAACCATCCTCTGCATGGAGATCACTCTTCCTTTTAGAAAGTACATCAAAGTTACTATAATCCAAACAGATTTGTAATTTATTTTTTTGGACATTTTAAAAAAAATAGAAGTTATCAATTGAATATAAATTAACCAATAACAGACATCCATCTGAATGCAATATATGAACCCGAGAGATACATTGAAAATTAAGATCACTGCAATCCATTTAAAGCAAAACTTGACATTTGCAAAATATATACTAAAATCAAGGCCGAAATAATTTCACATGACATTCAAAGTTGGAAAATGCCAAACACAGTAAGTTGTCACAATGGTACCAACATAGATTTCTAAAGCATTGGCATTCTGATTTTGTCATTACATCAAACTAAGTAACCCCATTTTCAATCTTAATTACATAGCTATCAATAGCAGGCTATAGCGGAGTAGAGTGTTTTCACATAGCAGCTGCAATAGCTGCCAAAATAGTGGTCTTCGCTGCTAGAGTGACACTTCAAAAAAAATAACTATTTTTCCCTAAAAAGAGCACTATTTTGGGAGAATTTTTTACTTTGATTGTTATTTACTTGTATGTTGTGCTTAAGAGCTATGGCTTTTTATATTATATTATGAATATGTCGTGGATTTTATAAAGATTTTTGAGCATTTATATATGTATAGTATAAATTATTTAATTTGCACGTAAACTTTCTAAACAGAGGTCATCCCATTATACACTATCCCGCTATAGTATTTTTTGTGTCATCCACTACTTGCTGCTATCCAGAATTGATAAATATGTTTAATTATAAACAAAGAGCATAAAGAAATAAAAGCCATATATGAGCCATCAATCTCCTTAAGAAGGTGCGTTTTATCATTCAGCTGTTTAAAAGTGCCTTAAAGGTAGACCAGCTTGAAATACCAGCTATTAAAGGTAGGTTCCCCTTTTTTGTTTTGTACTTTTTCCCCCTAAATATTGCAAGTTAATGTTTGGTCAATGTGAAAACAGATTGGTTGAAACACAACCAAAACCTCAGTTAAAGAGAACGTTGAAGATGAATGGAGAATAGATATCACAAAAACATTGAACTAGATGACCTGTATAATTTTTACTATTTGTAAATTGTAACTACATTTTTCACAAAAATATTATTGACATTCATCTTTGTATACCAATTAGCAATACCAACTTAATCGCATTAACCTATAAAACAGGTAGCTGGTAAATAATATCTACCATGCATCTAATTTGACATTTATCAAACAGTTCTGGTTTTCTGGTCACCTTAGATGAGGCCCCTTATTAACTGTCTCTCCACTACCACTCTGTACCTAATTAAACACACGCATCTATCACACCCTGGACACACCAGCCTGGCTACAGCTCATGATCATCCAGTGCAGCAGCAGGCAAGTCAATTACAATTTACAAAAGGTGAAAAGACACAATTCTCAAATTTCCAAAGTATCCTCACCCAATAGGTGAGAGACTAATCTCTTGGGACCAAATGCTGACATTTTTTCCACACACACGAATCTTGGAATCAAACCAAAACAACATGCTTCACCACCCCAGATCCTTCACTCAAAGCAACTAACCAACACATCTTGACAATTCTCAAATTCTATCCTGTAGGGTATAATAATGTCGAAATCCTCCAATCCGTACAATATAGTAGAATTCATTTCTATCATATTGATATTGACTTCATTTCACAACTTGATAATACAATAGAATTCAATCACAAGCACCTGGATAAAAGAAATAACAAAGCAAAAATGCACAGACCTGAGAACCAGCAAGTTGTTCAAACTGTTTGACCCAATCCTCCATCATGGCATCCTTACCGAGATCATCCCCAACGTGTGGGGACATAGAATCGAGGCCTTTAACGGCTTCTCTGGTTTGTTCCCTAAGCTTGTTGAGGGCCTCCGAGACATGGCTATCTTTCGAAACCTTCAGTTTACCCTTTTTCTTGGTTCTCAAATCAGGTAACCCTGCGCCCAATCCTTGAATCCCCGAAGGCAAAGAAAGCGACTCCTTTTTGTTCCCAGCTGCAGTTGCTTCCCCACTTCTCACACATCAAAATAAATTGAAAAAAAAAAAAAAAGCTCCAAAAATTCAGTAAATTAAAATGAATATATAAATAAATAATCGGAGGGGAAAAAAGAGAAACCTTTGAAGGGACGGATTAAGGTTGAAGGATTGGAAATCATCCAAAGCACCTGAAATGATTGAATTAAGCAGTTTCAGAGAGAAAATAAATAAATAAAAATAAAAGGTAGAGAGAGAAAGAGAGAGAGCGAGAGAGTACTATCGAGGAGTTGGTCGAGGTCTTGAGAAGAGTCGGCCATGGTAGTCACCACCGAGTCCTTACTGTGACCAATGCAATATATAAGCCCTCTCTCTCTCTCTCTCTCTCTCTCTCTCTATATATATATATATATATATATATATATATATATATCCAATTCCAATTAATTTCTTTTCATTTCTCAAATTAAATATTTTTATTTAATTTCTTTATATTTCCCTTTTTTTCTTAGTATTTTTAAGATTTGCCCCGCTAGGCTACTTTAAATGTTAATTAAAAGAAGAGAAATAAATTATTATATTGAAATTAACGTTTTTTATTTTTTATATGATTGAATTTAAATAAATGTAAATTAAAAATGTGTATGTTTTTAATTGTTAATATAATGAGTATTTTATTATATCAAATAAGAATCAATTAAATATAAATTTTTTGAAATTAAAAAATTATAAAAAAAATATTTGAATAAAAATGTGTTGATTTTATTTGTTATATATTAAAATTTATAAATTAAATTTATTCTGAATTGATTAAAGTTTTAATAATTTTAAATTTAAGAACAAAGTCTTAAATTTATAATGTAAAAGTAGATCAAGATTATCTATTACTCATTTATTTATTAAGTATTTAATCTGGGTAAAAATATTTATTGTTTGATGTATTAATATGTGTTTTGGTGAAATTAACCGATCTTATTAAAAAAAAATGAACTATCTCATTAACATGTTTAAGTACCCACACAAATCTCTCACATTCACTTATTTATTACCTTTACATTTCTTTATTAAAAAAAACAAATCATAACTTACCCCAAACTACTAATTATAGTAGTTATTTCATTATGAGCATTTTAAACGTTAAGTAAAAGTTAAAAATATATATGAATAAAAATCCATCAATTTTTTTCATTATCTAATAATGATAAATGTTCTTTTATACATAAAAGAGGCAGAAACAAAAGAACAACTAACTACATTGAGAAAAAAATTGAGATGTCTTTTTAAATATGAAAAGTAGAAACTAGAATGGGTGAATCTAATATTGTCCCATTTAAATGACTCACACAAAGTAAGATCTGGATCCTCACGTGTAAGAGAAATAGGATATTATCAATTCTATTAGTCTCACCTTTCATTCATTTAAACTTTTTATTTAAAATAAATTATATTATATTAATAACATTATTCAAGTGTCAGATCTTATGCAATGGTAAAGTCACTCGAGAGAATCAATTTCCCATGGAGTATCTCACAAATTTATTCATACCAATGAGATTCACAATTATTTTATTTATTTTGTTCTTTATTAATAATAAAGAAATTGTTTTTCTGTAAGGAACCAAATTTTACACTTCATGCAACTTTAACAGTGCAATGAAGTTATGAAACGGTTTCTTATCACATGCAAAAAGTTAAATAATCTTGCTAAAGATGCTCTGAAAAGGTTATAATGCATCTAAGTTTTAAAATTCTATTCATAACGTGACAATGGATACAGCAAGAATCACAACCATTTAGGATGAGATCAAGTGCAACTCTGAATGATATATGCTTAATTTTTCTAAAATAAAATTTTGTTTACAATAATTATTAAAGTAATTAATCATATCGTGTTATAGATGTTTCTGACAATAGTCTTGTACAATCTCTTAATCATGAAGGCATATATGTTAAATAGCTTCTTTGACATAACGACCAATCAAATAACAATCAAAGATAGTAATAAATGGTGTGGTCTTAACAACATATTACAATAATTGACAATATAAGTATAGTGAAACATGAAATGGTTTTTCTTATTAAATAAATGTAAAGGCAATAAATAAGTGAAGGTGAAAGATTTATGAATTTATCTAAACATGTTAATGGGATAGTTAATTTTTTTTTAAACATTTTGTATATGTTTAGGTTTGGTTGGTTTGCTTAGGGTAGAAAACATTAAAATCAACAACAGAGCCAATTTAGTTGGGGTTCAACGTGGGACATGGGCTACTCAAGTCTTTTTAACTCATGATTATCTTTGTTTACAGCTAGTTTTGGTAAATTTTTTAATAAATAACTATAGTAAAATAAAATAAAAGGAAAATTTTCTTGTAAATCAAAATCAATTTATGAATAACTTAAATGAATTTTTTTTTACAATAAGTTAATGTGTGCAAATTGATTTTAATTTATGTAATATGTTTAATTTTATCTCTCTATTTTATTTTTATATATAAATATATATTAAAAAGCTCGTTATGAGTAAACTTTGATAAAAAAAAAATTCATGACTTGTTAAGAAAAACAAAATAGATACTATAAAACACTTGAATAAGAGTCTATTTTCAAGCAAAAAAGTATTTTTTTTTATGAGATATTAAAATAATTATAATCAAACAAGTTGAAGTTAGTGCAATGCAACTCGACTTATTATTTCAAAAAACATTTTTTAAAATAAATTAATATAAACTTCTTCATGTAAACAAATTTTAAAATTTTAAAAAAATGATATGCTGCAAAAAAATTTAACAAATAATTTAAAAAAAAAGAGGAAACAAAACTTTTATAAGAACTTAACAATAAAATGAAAAACTAAAAAGAAAATAAAATGACTAATTAATTACAATAGGAATACAACTCTAAGCCTTATTATCATTTATCATTGTATAAAAATTTAGCAAATAAAACTATACGACTTATTTTTCCCTAAAATTTATCATTATTTTATCTCTCAATATTTTATATTGAATAAGAGTAAAAGTTAAAGATAATAATAAATATTTTTTCAACCTATTAATAAGATACATATACAACACCCTGAATACAAGGAGTCAAATGATACTACAGACTTCATAAGAATTTGGATAAAAAATTATGTTAAAAAGAAGGCTTAAGTCATGCATGATATTTCATAAATTCATGTTCAATCTTTTAAGAAAATGTTAAAGTAGACTGAGGAATATTAATATCACACTCTCTAACACACTATTTATTATTGTCTAAATTTTATTGAAAACTAAAAAAATTATAAGAGAGAAATATTAATTTAAGAGTGAAAAAGAGTAAAACTCACATCATTTTTATAGTTTTTGACAAATTTTAACTAATAATAAAGAATGTTTTACAAAAAATGTGTTGCTCACACCGTTAAAATAATTTTTAAATACTTATTTTCTCATATTCATTAAGAAATTTTTTTAAGACAAAATTGTGAGATTCATAAATACTAAGTTAACAACATATTAAAAGTGCTTAGTAGAGTTGTTAAAATGGAATATCTCTACTTACTTAAGCCCCTCAATGATAAGAACTAATTAAACATTTGTATCATAAACAATATTTTTTTTTATTTAACAAATTTTCACATTTTTCTCTCCTAATGACTAATCACCTTCCCCGATGATAGAAAAATAAAACAATACAACACACATCACAACTCACATTTGAGGTAAGTTAAGAAAATATCAAGTTCACTCAACATATCGATTCAATGGATTAACTTTACTCACTATATTATAAAATAAAAAATATAAGAAATATTTTATGAAAATACAAAAATAAATTTAGAAAAGGTAAAATTTTGATGAAAAATATTATTCCACCTTCTAGGAAGTTTTTTTTTTTTAGAAATAAGAAATTCAAAATTTAAAGACAAGTTTAGTTACAATGGATTACATACAAAATTTGACTAGCAAATTATTTGCATGCTCACATTTTTTATGCTTTTTAGGTGATTAAATTTTTTTTTTTTTTAATTTTAGACTGGTTATGGTGGCTTGACCTAATCTAACTCAAAAGTTAGGTACCCATCTCATGAAAACTTACAATTCTTCTAAAGAATAAATTTTAAAACATGACTCTTTAATAAATTGAGTTAGACTATATTGACTCACAAGCTCAAATAAAATTAGTAAGAGTAATCCACCTAACTTGCTAAATTTGATAGGATAAGTTAAAATTTTAAATATATTAATTTGTTTAACTTGTGATCACTTAACCTATATTTTTAAATATTAAATTGATCTATCAAGTTAAATATATTAAATTATTCTCTTAATTAATTTTTTTAATTTTTAAGTAGGTCAACCTACTAAAATGAGATGAGTTAATATTCTCTAACACGTTTAAATAACGATTGTAACACCCTAAATTTAATTTTTCAATAAATAAGAAATTTCATAAATTTTTGAAATAATAAAATTTTCATTTTAATTCAAGTTTCATCAACCATTTCAAATAAAGGAAGGGGTTACAAATTATATCAACAATTGCTACAGGACTTATTCTAATACAACAGTTTTTTAAAATAATATTTTAAGTCTTATAGCAGTTCCATCCACCTCTTCACTGAGTCCGGTGCTGATCGTCTTGATTACCTGAAAAATGAATGTAAGGGTGAGTATTCTATACTACCAAAAACACACAATCAACATACAGTCTCACCTCCAGAACCTTCCCAATACATTCAACAAACACAATCACAGGTAGCAATTTACATCCATAAGTACAAAACACAAATCCATGCATACGTATACCAGTCACACTCACTATAGTACTGTGATCACAGATTTATACTATAAATGGTCGCTGGTTACCCCCGCCTCATGGATATCACGTGGGCAGTCATGGGTCGCTCAGCAAGGATAGTGGTCAGAGGTCTAGTCAGGAAGAGAGTGTATGGCCTGTGGTGCACCCATTCCGCAGTTAGTGTCACCACCACTCTCTCCTCCCAAGATATTCCTACCATCCTCATCTTCCACACTCCAGTGTATTGCTGAACCATTCACAGCACGTCACAACGGCGCTAATACGCCCATTCACACATATATTCCATTCACGCATGCAATGATCATGCTTACACATGGCACACGACCCACATTACATTCAAATACACGGAACTAGGCCCATATTCATTTCACATCACACGACACATAGCCAATATTTATCTATCATGCAACATTTACATACAATCCACATCTATCAAGTTTGGGTCAACACACATAATGTTCACATATCACGTCACATGGCCCACATTACATTTTTTAGCAATTTTCTACTCCCTAACTCAGCCACAACACAATATTAAGCAAAATAACAACAATTCATTGCACAAAATAGTAGGATAGAGTCTCTCCTTACCTTGGATTGACGTCTCATGTGCTAAATCCACCAAGAAATGCTCCCCCTCACAGATTTCATTCTAAACACATGGAAAAACTCCATGAGAACCTAGGAGAAACACGGAAATAGAGAAAGGGAATGAAAAATTGAAACCTTAACCATTAAAACTTACCTCCAAGCGTTTTTCACACGGATTTAACCTTCAATCAAGCTCCCGAACGGCTTTGAAGGCAATTTAATCAGTAGAATAGGGCTTTGGGGAATGAGAGGATCGAAGGGAGAGGGAGAAATAACTCTCCCCGAACCCTAACCCCTTTTAAATCCTTTTCTAGTCGCAACACTCTCGCTACAGCGAGATATTTTCACTGCAGCGACACGCCCTCTCGCTACAGCGAAAAAAACCAGAGAAAACTGTACTTTAGTTTCTGGAGAATCTCGCTGTAGCGAGGTCCTTTCACTACAGCGAGACTGCACCTCCAAACTATCGCTCTCTTGCTACAGCGAGATGTCTCTCGCTATAGCAAGAAGGTGACAGTTTCAATCCTTACTGCTAGGGTCCTCTCGCTACAGTGAGAATTCTCTCGCTTCAGCGAGAACAATCCAATATCTCACCTTGTACCTAGGCACTTAGTCCATTCCAGTCCTATCCAGTCATGCATACACACACATATATATAATAATAATAATAATAATAATAATAATAATAATAATAATTAATATTACCAAAATTCGATGTGTTACAACGATAATGTTGATTTAACTAAAATTTAAACCAAACAATTGTCATTACTATTTATATTATAATTATATTTATATTAAAAATTAACAATTTTTAGGAGAATATAAATAATTAATATTAATACTACATAATTACAATTTTTATCTATTTTTTTTAAATCAATAAAAGATAAATATGTAAATTAATGTTAAAAAAATTAAAGGCACTTAAATTTTTTAGAAAATGGCTGTTTTACTATCTAAATTTTTTTAAATATAGGATATTTTAGTCTTTATATATTAATAAATAGAATAATTAATTATTTTATAAAATAATTTTAAATATTTTATTTTAATAAAATTACATTTTATATAAAATATTTTTTACCCACAAGAGAGGATACATGTTATTTGGGGTAAGAAAATTGAATGAATTTTTTTAATTTTTTTTAATTTTTAGATTGAGTTTAAATAATTAAAGTGATAAATTTTATTAAAAAATATTTATTATATTAAAAGTTAATATTATTTTTTAATTAGAGAAAGACCGAAAAAAAGAAGAAAGAGTGGAGGAGTAGGAGCTGGGTTCTAGCCTTTAGGTGCCGAGAACTCAACGGATATAACGGTTGTCGGAGAGTGAGTAGGGTGTGGTGGTGAGCAACAGCGCCAGCCGCCAAGAAACAGCAAATGGGTAGCGTTGGCTTCGGCGTTGCAAAAGCAATTTCATTAGCAATAGCAACAAGGCACCTCCGTTTAAAACCACCTTATGCAGCAACCCTTACTTATCTCTCACTCTACAACTATAACCAACCTCTCTTTCTCCCTCTTTCTCCCTTCTCCTCTCGCCGCTCCTTCTGCACCGCAACCCTTCGCTCCGCCGACAACAAAGTCTCACGGTTCCGGAAGAAGCTTAGGGTTTCTGAAATCAAAGAAGGTGATGGCGTCCACATGCTCGGTCGCAACCTCGTCGTCCAAGGTTGGGTCCGTACCCTTCGCATTCAGAGTAGCGTCACCTTCATTGAGGTTACATCACCTCTGTCTCATTTCCTTGCAATTATCTAAATGTGCGCATGAATTCGTACTTAGATGGAGATTAATTGTGTTATTGATTGAGTAATTTGTTCGTTGTGTCTAGGTTAACGATGGTTCGTGTCTTTCCAATATGCAATGTGTGTTGAATTCGGAGGCTGAAGGTTATGATCAGGTATGCTTACCTTTGCTATTTTGTTGTTTTAGCTTCTCTCTCTCTCTCTCTTTCTCTGTCTTCGAGCATTGGAACTTATTACTAGGTAGAATCTGGCTCGGTTACTACTGGTGCCTCTGTATGGGTGCAAGGAGTTGCGGTGGAGAGCCAAGGATCGAAGCAGAAAATGGAATTGAAGGTTAACAAAATAGTATTGGTTAGTGCTTCTTCATTCTTATGTCTCAACGAGTCAAGGTCTTGCCATGTTGTTCTCTAAGATAAGATATCGTATGATACCACCATTTTTTTTTTTTTTTCGAGACTAATGTTTATATTTGATTTTGTTTTTTTTCCCTTTGTTGTCCTGTCATTAGAGACGTCACGTGTTTCCAAGTTGTTTCGTTTGAATCTTTTACTTTAACTTCAAGCTGGCTCATGCAAAAATTTGGACTTGCATGTATAGATTGGCAAAAGTGATCCCTCCTTTCCGATTCAAAAGAAAAGAGTCAGCAGGGAATTTCTAAGAACAAAAGCACATCTTCGTGCAAGGACAAATACTTTCGGTGCTGTATGGTTTCCTTTTCTTAGCATATTATTTACCTTGCCTGTTTATGCCTTTAATGCAATATGGAAAAAGTAACAATTTATTAATCTGCTTTAGTTTAAATTTTTTTGTCTTGAAATTCTTCTAATATTCTTGTTTTTACTCTATCCTGTAATGTGATGCCAATTTCTAGACAATTGAATATGCAGATGGTTTCTTGTCATTCATCATGAAGAATTTCTTTATGAGCAAAAAATTGGTTGCACTTTATGATGGAAAATGTTAACTCAACCCTTAGGATTGAGGATAAGCAACTAAAAGTCATAAACTTTTATTGGAAAAGAAACTATTTATCATATTGGGAATATGAACATGTAATAATTGGTGAGATGATGGGTGTTGATTGCATGCCTCACACCGAGTACAAAAAAATAATCTGACCTAACTAGTTTTAGCGTATCTTAAACTGGTAGGAGTTATAAGTAACGATTTAAATGCTTAAAACCAACCACAAAAAAATTTGAATTACCACCTTATCAATTAAATCCAATGCAGCTACTTTGTAGCTTTTGCAATTTATCTACCTTGTGGCCACACAATCAGTTTTTATCATCTTCATAGGTTTATGCAGTGTATTCATATAGGGACAGTGGACTTTTTAGTTGCTGGCTCTTAATTTCCTTCCCCCTATCTTTTCTTATGTATGATGTTTTTGACTTTCAATGTACTTCTTTATGTATAAAGTTTTGACTAATTTATCAACTCATGTAAGTTCTGTTACTATTTTTCTCTTGGGAAATGACCTTATTTTTTTTAATATTATCATTTTCTTTTTATGGTGCAAAATGAATTCAGGTTGCAAGGGTTAGGAATGCATTGTTATATGCTACACACAAGTTCTTCCAAGAAAATGGGTTTGTATGGGTCACAAGTCCTATCATCACAGCTTCAGATTGTGAGGGAGCGGGAGAACAGTTTTGTGTTACTACCTTGGTATTCACAGTTCCATGAACTACTTCCCCTTTGTATGAATATTTTTAATGAAATTTATGTTTTTGATGACCGTTGAATACCTCGAGACTCAAATCTTTACTCTTTCCCTGCACCACCAAAAAATCTCATAAGGAGAAAGATTGTTACAAAATCCGTGCTTGTGGGGGAAGCAGTCCTGCATTCCAAATTACTATGAAATAGACAACAAAATAACTTGTGTTATTCACAGTAGAGTGAACTAAAACCTATAAAAGAGGATGTCACATTATCCTGTACTTTTAGGCTGTGGGAGAACCGCAGAAGTTCTAATTTTAGCTTAGATTCTGAAGCAGGAGAGAACTTCTATGGATGGTGCTCTTTGGCTTGACAAACACCGGTTAATTATTATCAATTTAGCTATAGCAACAACAACCAAAACTCATCTCATTATGTGCAATCAGCCACATGGATCAATCAACATCACTGAACTGTATCAGAAACAAAACTTTTAGGAAAACTAGTTGGAGCTAAGCATCTTGTGATGGTTTTTCCTAATGTTTTCTTTGATGTAGTCACTCTTGCCTGGAAAATAGTCAATACTTTGAAAGAATGCAAAACCAACAAATCTTATGAAGTCAGCATTTATATGAATTCTTTATTATTTCTATTTTTTGAACTGTATCTTTAAATTTCTATAGGTTATCCAGAGTTTATTACTTTGTAATAGTAACCTTTTATAATTTTTTTCCTCAACCAAGGAAGTTAATTTTCCATAATTAAAAAATGGTACAAGGATAATGTTATAAATCTTCACAAATATTAGCACTGATTTCTTGTCTTATTAAGCATTTGGTTTTATATTTTTCTCCTTGAATTTATAGATCCCAAGTTCTCAAGATACTATTGATTCTCCTGTGGATGCTATTCCAAAAATGAATGACAGATTAATTGACTGGTCACAAGTGAGTCAGATTTATGTCCCTAATCTTTTGCTATAAGTTGTCAATAATCAAGAAGTCTGCAAAGTGGTTATTATATGTTATGTGATAACTAGAAGCATTCTGTGCATCAGGACTTCTTTGGAAAACCAGCATTCTTAACTGTTTCAGGTCAACTCAATGCTGAAACTTATGCTACTGCTCTTTCTGATGTACATACGTCACCTTCTCTTTTTCTTTTTTCTCATAATTTTTTATAGTTGTTTCTGTTTTCTTTAAAATATAGTATTCTAGAATTGGCAATTGAAATAAACTTTTGATCTTGTACTTATACAGGTGTATACATTTGGTCCAACATTTCGAGCAGAAAATTCTAATACTTCTAGGCACTTGGCTGAATTTTGGGTCTGTAACTTATTTTTTGTTGTTTGCTCAATTTGAGTGCATAGGAAGTCCAAATATAAATTCCTTTTGTTACGGAGTTTCATAGTATTTCTTATTAGTTATTATGATGATTGTATAATGGAACAATGACCAAAGGAGGGGTATCTTCTTGTTTATTCAGATGATTGAACCGGAGCTTGCATTTGCTGATCTAAATGATGACATGGCTTGTGCAACTGCTTATCTTCAGTTTGTAGTACGTTACCTTCTAGAACTAATATAAAGTTGCTGCGATCTTAAGTTTTTTTTTTTTTTTTTTGCAAAGCTTGTTTTTATAATTTTTATTCATATTAAAGATTGTGTGTTTCATGAATTTGTTTCTTGAAGATAAGATACGTCCTTGATAACTGCAAGGAAGACATGGAATTTTTCAACACGTGGATTGACAAGGGAATCATTGATCGCTTGAGTGTATGAGTTCTCAGTGTAACCATCATATTATTTTCCTTTATCTGATTTATACCTATATATCTTAATTCTAATCACTAGAATGATCTTCTGTCTTTGAATTTTTTTTGTCATTATAAAAAGGATGTAGCAGATAAAGATGTTGTACAAATAACCTACACTGAAGCAATTGATCTGCTGTCACGGACAAATAAGAAGTTTGAGTTCCCGGTAACTCAATAATTCTTTTTTTTTTTTTCATTTTCAATAAAACTGTTGAATGTGCAGTTGCTTTTGTCCTGAGCTTCATCTTTTGTTTTGTTCTGTCCCAATCCCACAACCATTTTTTAAAATCAAGCTTGTAAGTAGGTATTTTTGTGCTGTATAATCTTCATTTTTAAGGAAATCAAATGTACCCAGAGGATTTGTAACTTCTCTTTTGTTTGCTCCCCCCGTCCTTTGGACATTCCCTCTCCATTTCTAGCCTGCATTTCATTCACTCTGTTACAAATACTATTCCTGATGTTGATTGATCCTTGTAGCTAGCCCAAACTAATGACTCAAGATTTTATTGTCATTATTGCATTAGCTTTATAATTTTATATTTGTTAGGTGCTTCCCTTTGTTTGTATTTGACATGTTTTTCTGTTTGGCTTCATAGGTGAAATGGGGTTGTGATCTGCAGAGTGAACATGAGCGTTATATAACTGAAGAGGCATTTAACGGATGCCCTGTGATAATCAGAGACTATCCAAAGGCATGTTACTTTTCCCCCTCATCTTCTGGACATCACTATGTTCACTTCATGGCATATGGATGACATTAGGGGTTGGCATTGTAAATATTTTTTATAATGGGTGACATTGTAAAGGAATTGGCAATAACGTTTGACCTTGGGAGGCAAGATGTAAAATCTGCAAAATATAAGAGAAGTGGCTGAGAAAATAGAGTATAAGTAACATTCTTCCAAACTATTTTTCTTCTGCTTAGCTCCCCCTTCTCATAAAATGTAAAAATGAAAGGAAAAATAAATGCAAATTTACCTTCTGCTTTTTTCAGTCTTTTATTTCTTTATGGTGTAGAAGCTACTGAAAGGCCACCACTTAAAAAGTCACATGATATAACCAATGATCAAGATTTATTTCTAACACTCCTCTTAATATGCTTCCACACACACACACACAGAGGGAGGGAGAGAGAAAGATTAACTGTACTGAAGTAGTTGAATTTGATATTTTCAGGATATTAAGGCATTCTATATGAGACAGAATGATGATGGAAGGACAGTTGCAGCCATGGATATGTTGGTTCCGAAGGTAACTTGTATTTCTTTATTATTGCGATCAAGTAGTGTTTGTGTATAGCAAATTTTCAGTATTGTCCAAAAGAGTAGTGGTTTAGGTTCAATAATACATGGAAAAAAGAAAAGAACCTACTTTGTGTCAGAATACTGCTTTTAAGCTGGGGACAGGGATGCTTGTCTGATGGGGTGTCATGGGAGTTCTTAGGTATACAGTTCAATGATCCAGAGCTGGTGAAGTCTTTTGATCATATAATATACCAGTAATATGTTTTTTAATTTTGGACAATGCAAAACTATGTATGTGTCCTTGTAATATGTTGTCTCTGTTAGATTGGTGAACTTATTGGTGGAAGCCAAAGAGAAGAACGGCTTGAGTATCTAGAGGCTCGTTTAGATGATTTAAAGCTGAATAAGGATGCATATTGGTGGTATCTTGATTTGCGTCGTTATGGTTCAGGTCAGATGTCTCTCTCTTTTAAGCCTCTTACCTTAAGTTCCCTGTAATAAAAATTTTGAGCAACACTGTTTAAGTCATAAAACCTTTTCAAAAAATACTCTTTTCTTTTGCTAACCACCTTTCTTTCTCTTCTATTTGAACTGTCTCATTCCCCACTTTGACGCACCTAAAATTACTGTCATATTTTCCAAATTCTCTACAATATTGTCAAGTTTGAACTTTTTGCATGAGCTCTGCATATATGTGGAGCTTGTGCAGATACTGATCTTTTGTGGAAAGCAAATCTAAAGTAATGCTGGCTTTTTGAAGAGCAGAGGTAGTGTGCACATGTTACCTCTCCACCCAAATAAATTAATGTGCGTCAATTTTTTTTTTTGGGTTATAAAAAAGAAAGCTTTATTTTAAGGAATAGGAAATACAAGAAGACCGGTTGTAAACCACTTGTCCACTGTGGAAGGCCTAAACGAGATGCTGTTTTTATCCTACGTAATTAGTTGGTTTATACACCGAATTTATGCATGCTGATGCAGCTGGTGAATAATTTGCAAGCCCTGTGCAATGTTTGGTCCCATTCTTTATTGAGAAAACACTTAAATTGGCCTTCCATTGTCACTGCATTAGTTCACTGGATATTTGTTGTCAAATTAGTAAATATTAAACAGTTACTGAATTCATACTTATGTTTGCGTCACTATTTTAATCCTCTATAAAGACAAGCATTGCTTTGAGGAATTAATTTGTTAACAGAAATCTTGAAAGAATAACATGGTGATTCCATTCTTCATAGCACTAATTTAGGTGTTTATTCTTGTTTTTACTTTTAACTCGTGATATTGACTTGATAGTGTCTTCTTGAGTGCAGTACCTCATGCAGGCTTTGGTTTGGGCTTCGAAAGACTTGTCCAATTTGCAACAGGAATGGACAATATAAGAGACGTGATTCCTTTTCCTCGAACACCTGGCTCGGCTGAGTTTTAGACCTTGCAGATATAAGGAGTCTAAATTCATTTTTACGATTCAAACTGCATTTTTGGACAATAAAGTCTCTTGCCGTCCTTTTCTTATTATTTGAAAAAGAAAGCAGCGCTTCTATTTGAAGTGTCTATATATCATGAACTATGTAGAATACCATGTTGCGGCAATATGATGGCGTTTCCAGAGCATATTTACCTTATCTCATTTGTATGAAGGTTGCAGTCAAATATCCAACCATGTAAGTATCAAATTTGTATCGGATATTGGTGATGTAGGACAACCTATAACGGCAATTTACTGGTACTGCTGAGACCGAAAAAGAAATTTGATCTTAATGATAAATTAAAATAATTACTGTCATTCACATGATGAAGCATGTACTTTTTAATAAATTCAATAATGCAGTGTAATGAGGTTGAATGAAGCCAATTATATTACAAATAAATGTTCTAGTTTAAATTCTGTTCTAAAATGCTTCTGCAAATGTTCAAGATGAATGTTTTGACTAGTTACTTACGCTAAAAAAAAAAACAAAATTCAACATTTTCCGTTGAATTACAACTTATTCCATATGGAATTGATAAACGTTTTGACTAAATGCCTTATTAATTTGATAAGCGTTGTTAATATAAAATTAATGGATATCATTCTTGTTTTTGTAGATAAATGGATAAAATTATTTGAGCAATTCACTTTAAAGTTATCGAAAGTTACAAATTAATAAGAAAATATGTCGATGGTGCCTTTATATACAACTAGTACTGGCAGAGTACTTATCAGAATAGGATTTTGAATTGCTGACATGTGACAACTCTTTAAAGACCTTGTCTTCTGTACTACTTGCTTCTAATATATGAGCCACAATTTCAGAGCACTGCCTCACTCGGGTTAGGCTTAGTAGTAACATCAATACTCCAAAATCATCGTCACTTTTGAAGGTCATAAATTGATTTCACATGAAGCTCACGAAGGGTTAAAGCCCGAGTATAGGTTGGGACAAATTTGATACAAGGTAAGGCTTCATGCATTGCTTTTAAAACAAACTGATCACTGACCAATAAAAGCTTTAGTTCATGGTTTATTGGTTTGATACCAATTCTTAATGTTGATCCGATATCTTTTCATACTGTAGCTTCAAGTATTAATCGTTGAAGGGAGTAATATAAGGTTATTTGCGATATCATGATCTGTATTGTGATGAATTCAGTTCACTAAGGTACACCTTTCCCGCGAGTCCATCACTGGTCCAACAGCTTGTAACACAGCCATTAAAATATGCAGACCATTGCATAAAACCATCTTTAACAAAGCACATTATATGATCCTAAAGTGTAGGCATGTTATGTTTTAGTTTGAGAACACATCTACTTTCATTTCTTCTTTACAACTACAATTACACCACCGTCAACTTATTTTAATTTTTATTTCATTTTGCAAAATAAAAATTTTAACTAACAAGTAAAATGCAGGAATTGGAAACAAAAAGACCTCATGCTCTTATTAAGTAACATTTCCTTGGCAAAGTGGTATCTGTGTTATAGTTTGAGAATACAGACCAGTTACTTTCAACATTATTGGGAGGGGGAATGAATATGATGAACATAGTGGTTGTGTGTGATAGTAATCAAGTACTGGAAATCGCACCAACAGCTTGCAATAGCTAAAACATACTGTAGTAATTTTAATTATTAAGCTGGGTATTCCCCATATGTCATTTGCAAACCCTATTTCTAATTAAAAAAACATGACAATCTTGCGCTTAGAAGAGACTCTTGCACAATTGTTTGCAAGGAAGAAACATATAGTTTAATATTAACTGGCAAAACAACTAGTTCATTGAAAACCCTAATCAAAACTATCGCAGCTTCGGTTCATCGACCAAATCAAAACAAGTAATACATATCGCAAACTAACAAAAACCATCATCCAGGCATCTTCCTCACTTCTCAGACGAGTTTGGTCCACGCTTCTTTCCGAATCCCACCACTACAATCACACAAAACCAAGGAAAAAAAATCAAAATTTTAAAAACCGACATCATAATAGCAAGAAATTCACTAGCTCGACCATTCTAACACAACAAAATTAGATTTTTGGGTAGAAAAACGAAAAGAAGTAGGGAAGTTGAACAATGTGGGTATATAGGTCTCAAACGAAAAGGGGAAGAATGATGGAGTTACCGGCTGTGACGAATCGGCGATTGTATTGCATTCGCTTGTGAGCGCGGCCACGTGGCTTCTTCTTCTTGTCTTGCTTTGCCACTTTGGGGGTTTGCCCTCTCACTTTCCCCGCACGGGCAAGAGATCCGTGAACCTTACCTGCAATTCAAACATAGCAATTTCATATCGTATGCAGAAGAAGCACTGAAAAATTACCAATTCCTATTTATTGAGAGTTATAACGTGACTCACCCATTTTGATGAATTGCTGCTTCTCTCTCTCTTCGCTTTGTTCAGTTGCAGCGGCTGCAAGTAAAAACCCTACTTGCGAGAGAGATGTTCTATTTGTATTGATAGAGTTGAAGGTTGTGGGCTAAGATGGGCCTTCAAATATATTAGGATACGTTGTATAACCCTGTTTGACAAAAAAGAAAAACAAAACAGGGTTCTTTTACAGTGTAACTTGAGATTTTAACAAACATGCATGTAGTCTCTTCTTTTTATTTATAATTTGACTATTAACAAAATGCAAAAAGATTAACCACATTTAATAATACAACTTAATAAGAATTTATTTAATAAACTGAGTGCCTGATCCTATAAATTTGATAGTAAAATTTCTTAGAATATTTTTTCTTATAAGTTATATTAAAAAATTTATTAAAATAGACTGAAAAATAAAAATTATAAACCATTTTATTAAAAATATTTGTATGCTTTTTCAAAAACCTTTTAAGAAAAAATTACAAAAAAGATATCATAGGGATATGAATTCCTAGAATCGAAGTAACAAAAAAAGTGATTTTAGAGTCAAATAATTTTGCATTAACTTTTATTTGAAGTTGAGCATTTATTAGAATTTTTAAAGGGATAGATGATATTTTGTATTATATAATAGTTTTTTAATATCATTTAATTTTTACATATATGAAAAATTATTTTTAATTTTATCAACTATTCAACACATGTTTAAAATATTTTTTAACTCTTGTAGAAGACTTCTTTTAAAATTTAGTTCCTATAAATAAAAAAAATTATATATCAATCTTTATACAAAAATTTAGTTTTAATTTTATTTTTAACATTTTTATATCGATGTCAAGTGATATTTTTTTTTTATTTTTGGAGTGACATTTCAGATTCTTCAAATAAGTCTCAAATTTTGTTTCATATAATTTTTTTCATCTAATTTCATATTTTAATTCATTTCTATATGAGTATAACTTTATTTTTCATTCTTTCTCATATAATTTTCATCCCAATATCTCGAAGCTCGGCTATGCCTCCCTGATATGTGCCCAAAATGAATAGCTTTCTTCCTTTGTATCTTTGATATATTTGTAAGAAAATCAAAATTACCCTTTAAATCATCACTCTCATCATCATTTTTATTTATTTCTATAATCACAAATTAATTATTTTAAAAAAATAGCATTGAGATAAGAATGATAAAATAATAGATAATTATTGTTATGAGATAAAATTGAGCAGATAAATAATGATAGGTGAGATAAAAATGTTTGAAGTGATACTCATGTAATGACAAATCAAAATATGAATTTTTTTTAGAATAGTACTTACACATAATTAAAGCAAAAATGTATTACCTTGTATAATAAAATTTGATGTCATGAATTAAATAGATTGAAATAAAAAATGAATTTTTTTTGAAGAATTCAAAATACTCCAAAATTAATGAGAAAATTCACTTGATACTAATATAAAAATATCACTAATGATAAGGACAAAGTTGAAAATAAGTTTTCTAAGAACTAATATGCAAATTCTCTTACCTATGAAGACTAAATTACAAAATAATGTCTTGTATAAGGATTAAAAGATAATTTACACTTATTATGTTAGATAACTGTTTGATACTTATGAGAGAGATAATATCATTAGAACATACAATAATGGTAGAAATAAAATAAAAAATAAATTTTTGTATATATAGTAATATATAAAATTTGTATCTATTATGATTAAATTACAAAAGTGTATTTTGTATAGAGACTAAAATATCATTTATCCCATTTTAAAATTAATGTTAAATAAACTCAGACTAAATCTTTAAGGTTTTCATGAAGAGGCTTAAGTCTTGTCTTGGGTAGCTAGCTTTGCAAATGCAAGTAAATTGATAAAAGATAGTTATTGAAATGTTCGAACTTAAATTCAAATACTAGAAAGATTTTTTTTATGATACTAGCAACACATTATATTTAATATTTTTTATTATTTTCTTTAAAATCAAATAAAATTAAATTTTTCATCCTTTAATTTTAAAGTAGATTTCAATTTAGTTTTTTAACTTTTTATTTATTTATTTTTGTTCTCAAAGTTTTTTTTTTTTTTCAAATTGATTCTTTTTCTTAGCTTTGTTACTTTAGCTATCAGAAATATTATATATGGCTGTGAAGTGACCTAAACAGTAAAGTAGTCCAACTTAACTTTTTATTTGAAATTAAAGTATAATTGTGTCTTCTTGTATGAGTTAGGGTTTCATACTAACTTTGACGTGCCAACAATGACGACACAATGCACGCTCCATTCCTACTCGTGATGGGGACCCTAAGCACAAGCATGAGCATGTGCAATGCCATAACGTTGTTCTATGCTTTCTCTGATTGCAATTTTGCTTGTTCTTTTGTCAATGGTAACAACAACTTAGAGAATTTGAGTTTAGCAAGATGAATTGTGGAGATTAGGAACAACACTGAGAAGCAAAATTTGCGCTAAGTTGCAGTGGGATTGGAGTTGTACAGTGATTGCAGTGATGAACTTACTATAACTATGCTCGATTGTCGTAGTTGATCGGGTTTAAGGAAAATGAAGCGTCTTAGGGGAATCGTGGAGAAGGCATGAGAAATAAAATCAATGTTTTAGATTGGAAATTGAAGAAAGAGAGTTGAAGAGGGAAGAAAAAAGAGAATTTTTGAAGGGTGGTGATTCTGTGTATGACTAAGAATAATGGTGATGGAAGAGATGAGACTTATTTGTCAAGAAGTGTGTGTTATTGTTAGGAGCAAGAAGTGCAGAACAAGGATCCTTTGGTTATGAACTCTTTCGTGACCTTTGGTTTATGAGACTTTAATGATTATCACGAGGAGTTGGAAGTGGAAAATGAGAATCTCTTGTTTATGGACTCTTCTATGGCCTTTGGTTCACTAGACTTTGGATGATTTTTTCGCTGCAAAATGGACCAATTTCTTGCATGAATGATTTGTTTTGTGATTAACGAAAATATAAGAGTTGATTATAATTTTGTAAGTTTCATTAGTTTTTTCAGAAGGAGAAAGAAAAAAGATGGATATCAAACATGTATGAAGATGACTTTCTAATTAAAAAGTTTCGATAGGACTAGTTAACATTATTTAAATCACTTTAGCTCGCTACATAGAATGTTTTTATTAAATTATGTAACAAAGATTATAAAAAGTATTAACACAAAATAAATAAATAAATTTGAGAACAAAAATAAATAAATAAAAGTTGAATAATTAAATCAAAATCTATGAAATTAGAAGATAAAAGACTAATTTTACTTTAAAATAAATATAAGATTTAAATAAATCTTTCAATAAAAATATATTTTTAAAATAGTCCCTGATATTAACTTTCGTTACAAAATCATTATCTCATATTTACATATGTATTTTATCTTTACAAATTTTATTTTAGCCCTTATATGGAAAAAAGTCAATTATAAGAATTAAAATAAAGAAAATATGTTTTATAAAAGAACTAAAATAAAAAAAAATGTATATAAAAGTAAAAGAAAATCATCAAACACCAAGTTAAAAAGTATTATAATAATTAAAAGTAAACTATAAGATATAATTTAATGATTCTTAAATTTAAGTTTTAGTAAAAACAACTATATTAAATATTTGGAAAAAAATTATGCTGTCTATAGTAATTTTGTTTGCCTCAAATAAGATTGTCTATCATTAAAAAATTAGTTATTGTCTAAAAAAAATATGATTAAATGATTTTAAACAATATTATTGTAATTTAACGTAGTTGTGAAGATTATTATGATAATATGACGTTTAAGATTTAAGTAAAAAATATTTTAGCTTTTATACATTTTGAAAGATTACAATAAGAAAATGTTAATTAATTTTTAAATGTTAAAGCCGTTTTTTTTTTCATTTGAGAAAGTAGTGATAGCCCTATTTTAGTATTGTTCCTTTATCTGATAGGCTGCTAAAATTTATGGTTAAACCTAATCCTTGTAAGTATTGGTCTCTAATTAAAATTAAATTTTAACTCTAACCAACTTAATAAAGGTATTTTGAAAGGATGATATCAATTTTAAAGATAAACATCAATTAATTTTAGTTAAAGTAAACTGTCATTTTAAAGTATTGAATGTAAGTTTTATCTTTCAATAAATTTTTAAATAATTTCTTAAATATACCAAGAGTATAACATAAATTTTTTTTACTAAACTAGCAAACACCAACTTTTTATAACAATTTTATTAACCACATTAATGTATAGATATATTATTTAAAGTTAATAAATTAACTTTTGTAACTTAAACGAGAATCATCATAAAATCTTTCAATTTATTTTGACGACATATTTCATTTTTACCTCTCTATATTTGATACTTTTTTTTCATTTTAATCCTTATACATAACGCGTTCTTTATAGTTTGATTCATGTAGTTTAAATTAGTTTAAATTTTTTGGAGGACTATAATGAAAACTTTATTATGTATAAGAACTATAATGAAAAAATATTTAATAATATTTATAAGGATAAAAATAAAAATGTTTAAATAAAGCATAATATTGTTATAACCTATTTTGAAAATACCGTTTTTCATTTAAAGATTTGTTGACAAACGTTTTTTTATAGGAACTGAATAAAAAAACAAACTTTATACAGGAATCAAATAAGTATTTAAACTCAAATATTAAAATTTTTAAAAGTAGTTCAATCATTAAAAATAATATGTTAAAAATGTTACTTTATCGTGACAAATGATTCCTTCAACTTGTTATTCTTTATAAAAAGATTTAAGCATACTTCTTCAGTTTTGAAATAAGTGTTACTTTAGAATGTTATTAAAAAGTGAATTTTTTCTTAAAATGTAAAGAGAAAAACCATATGACTAAATTACCCTTTTTAGATGCTTAAGCTATTAATGCTTTATCTCTTTAAAGAAAAAGAAAAAGAAAAAAAAATATTAAACATTAATTTAAAGCAAGAAATACAACTGAACAAAAAAAAAAGTACCAAATGTTTTTGAATACAATGCTAGCAAATACTTATTTTGGAATGGAATAAGTAAAAAATAAAACACTCAGAAGAACATTTTGTCTAGTGATCGATATAAATTTCACCTCATGACCTGTGCTTGCGACAACATGTGGATTCTTCCAAATCTTTAAATTGATTCATTGAATACTCATTTGTAGTTTACATTTGGTTCAAATGAAGAAAAGGAAGGAAAGAGGTTTTAATAGAATGGAAGAAAAAAGGCGGAAATGAAAAGGAAAGATCGCTTATTTGATTTAATTTAAAATTGAAAGAAAAAGAAGGATCTCTTTTTTTAGTTTGTCAGGAAAAGGAAAGAAAAATATGAATAATATACTATTATACCGCCATAATTATTAATGAAGAAATGCAAGATAAAATAAAATTTTAGAACAATTTAATCAATATAATTCAAAAATCAGAAATCATTTTGTTTTTCCTCTAAATCTCTCCAATATTCCATTAAAAAAAATCTCTCCAATATAGAAGAAATTTTGACCCCTTCATTTCCTCTTCTCTCCCCTCAAGTTTCTAAACCAAATAAGATAAAACTGAAACAATCTCCTCTCCCCTTCCCCTCTTCATTCTCTTCCAACCAAACCCATTATATATAACTTCAATCCTTTTCCAACAGTCAAAGAAAATAAAATTACAGGCAGGCAAGTGCAGGTTATGCAACCCTCAGCATTATTTATATTTCTACCAAGTAAGATTGCCTTGACAAACCATTACAATTATCGTTAAATTATATTCCATTTCATAACTGAAACAATTACAAAAGAACAAAACTTATATTTCACAAATTCCATATTCTATTCTTTTGCCTTTATCTTTGAGGCTTCTTTTCCTCGAGGGACATTTCGTGTTTTCTTGTTTAATAAAATGAACAAATGAGTTGTACTACTCACCTACGCAGTCTATCCCTTGCTAAAAGACATCAGTTCCTCGAGCCATAAACGGTGAAAAGTGTCAACTCCCTCGGCATTTATAGTAAAATAAGGGGTGGGGAGAAAAGGGGCCCAGGGACTTTGGTCTCTTTATGAACTTCAACTGATGTGTATCATCATTTCGTACTTCAGAGAAATGAGGCAGGGACGACCCAACTACTCTGACAACCATAAACAAAATTTGATATTTACAGCTTAGTTATCTGCTCAAAGTTTGACCTCGTGAAGATCTTCTCCAAAACTCCCACTCTTCGTTGGTGTATGCCTTAAAGAAAATTCATCTGGTATAAATGTTGTCGGTGGCATTCCCAAAGCTTCACCAAGAGGCTTAATTTCACCCATTTCTGTGGGACTAAATATATTGCCAATATCCCCACCCCATGAAGCTGTTCGTCGTGAATGAGGCAAATGAGAGTTACTGCCATCCGTCATTGCTTCAGGGATTGAGATATTACTCATACTTGGAAACCTTTGCCTGGTCGCTGCTGATGGGGGCTGAGGGGATTGGTATGACCAATCATTCCTAGAAGACGTTGAAGGAATTTCATTAGTTAAACTATCTTCTTGATTACTTTCTGCTATAGCCTCCATTGCCTGCTCATTGGATGATGGTGCAGGAGCAGGAATAAAAAACTTTGGATTGGCAGCAAGGGCAGATTTTACAGATGGAACAGATGGTGACTGAAACAAGTTTGCAGAGCTTCCACCACCTTGGTTGAATGTATCAACATATCTGTATAGACCATCAAATGTTTCATCAAATTGATCTGCTTTTCAGATGCTGACAATGATTGAGATTATCAATAAGAACTCTTGTTTCTGGAAAAAGGATCTGGCTGCATATAAGAGCCAGCACCATATGTTCTTCCTAATTTATTTTCTATATTTGATATTTCTAGTATATATTTTTTAATTAGGCCTAGAAACAATGTCTACCCTCCACTTTATAACTCTAGTCAGCCCTGATGAAAGTAAATTACACACCTAAAGACTCAGCTATCATGCTAGTTCAACATTTTAAGAACAGCTCTTCTTGCTTCAAAATTTATAACCAAATGGAGTAATAAAAAGGAGGTCCACTTTACAATGCTTGAAAGCTGACAATTGACAACTACTGCACTAATTAAAGTTGAACTTCACTTGAGTTCCAACAACACAATCATAAGAAGAATGAAAAAGTATCTTACCTTGATCGAACACCAAAGCGGCCACGAGCAGAGAATTGATTTGTGCTAGGTGGTATTGGTGGAATCCCTGGAGTAAGTTCAGAACTTGATAAATCAGAGCCCTCATTAGAAGGTGGTCTTTCATTCTTCAATGCAGATTTCAAGTTGTAATCAATTGAACCATTCGGGAAAGCAGCAGTAGTTGGAGGTGGCGGCAGTGCAGTTTCTTCAGGAGGAGGTTCAGCACCTTCCTCTACCCATCTTTTCAGTTTTTCATCATAATAGAACTTGTTTTTTTCACCCAATTTAGCCTTCATATAGAGCAGAATAAGAACCATTTGAATTGGCACAGTCAGAAGCACAGTTGAAAGGAGAAAAAAAAAGAGTGGAATATAAAACAAATAATAATACCTGTCGGCCAGGGCGAGGTCTCAAGACTAGCCCCACTGTCTTTTGCAAAAGTTGTGAGCCAAAACCAAAAGAAAAGCGAGATGTGCCTCCTGATACTGATGCTTTTCCTTGTGCATCAGGTGAGGCTCCCTGTGATGAATCAAACAAATTTTTTTTCCAATAAATACAACAAAAATCTCAACCAGGAACATGAAGCTGAAAATTTTCAAAGTAGACCCTTGACAGTAGTCACACACCTGTCGGGGACTTCTACTAAAGTCTGGCTCTGAAACACTTCTATTAGGCTTTGTCGTCCTATTACTGTCCGCTGTCCAATCACTGATGGGTTCCATTGAAGCAGATGGAACCAAGGATGACATGGCCATTGTTGATTGGCTATTGGATACTCTGTTTGTTGTAGGCTGGTAATGTTGTCCATTTCCATGCAAAACTCCTTGAGATGATGATGGAGCAGGTGGTGGTAAACCACCAACAACTCGGTGTGCAGTACTATCAAAAAAGTTGAGCAATTTGCCCACTAATTTTGCAGGAGCCAAATTTGCAGTATACCCACCCTGAACACATTATGAAACATGAGGATAAATAACAAAACTATCAAAATAGTGAAAACTCAATAAAGACAAGGAAGTACCTGTTGGTGGGTTCTAATCCTCTCCTCAAGAGAAAATACCAACTGTTTCCATGTTTCTACCTCTGGTGCGCGACCAGTTTTTAAGGATTTCAGTACTGCCTGGCAGTACCTGAAGTCACATAATAACAATAAGGCAGAATACAGAAAGCATAATATCACAAACAATATTCTACAAACTTACTTTAATGAGTCTGAAACCTTTCCCAATTCAGCTAGCATATATGCGTATATGAGCTTATATGGCTGAAATGGAAGCAAAATAAACTGAGAGTTTCCAAGCACCTTTGCATATTCGTATAACTCAGTCATCTGTTCAAGTAACCATCAGGTAAGATAAGTTTTGAGTGGTTCCACTAACGCATCATACAAAAAATTGAATCATATTAAACATTACATTTTTTAAGAGACAGAGATGCTAAGGCACAAGTACATCACGTAGACAGGTTATTTAAAAACCTTACAGAACACAATGCTTAAAAAATGTCGCATTCCTTTGTTGATAAACCAATGATTAAGGAGTAAGATAAAATACATGCAATCTTCTTAAGCATGTAATGAAAGATCGAAGTTTGAACCTTGTAAAATTCCAGCCAATTAAGCAAATCGGAACAATAAAAGTCAGAGAGAGACAGGTGTTACATATAGACCCCAAACATGCTCATGCAAATGCAATAGAACCACCAAATTTTGTGCAAGAAGCAACCTAAGGGATAAAGAGATTTCAGAGCACCTGGATAGCCTCTGGACTAGCATAAGTTCGAGGAAATTTCCAATGATCAGCTCCTACAAGACAGAGCCTTGCACTATCTGAGTATGACCCAAAGTTTGCTTCAGCAACTAAATAGCAGATGTGTGCAGCAATGATCTATAATAAGTCTCAAGTCAGAAACAAAATAGAAATCTACAAAAAACATTGAACAGTGGAAAATATAGATTAAGAACTATACCTCACTTCTCTCCTTCCATAAGCAATCACCAAGATGAATAATTACAAGCTCATCATCTTTGGTTCTGTTTGCAGTTATAACAGCCAAATTCTCCTCCCAATCATCAAGCATGCCATTAGATCCCAACTGAAGTTGCAAGGCAACAATAAAGGCATGAGCTTCCAAGTCAAATGAAAAACCAATAACCTTTGCAATATTGAAACTTGGAAGTAAGAAAACGTCTGAATTGCACAACTCTTGCATGGTTTATCAGTTTATCCTACTGAGATCACCTGTGTAGGCTGCTGAGGCATATTAAAAGCTCTAGGATCTCCACTAACTGAGCTATCAGAAGAGAAAACTTCAGCTGGTTGCCCAGCGATTAGAAGGCATAGTGTACGCAGAGGTGACCCTAAAACCAGCTGACGAAGTGCCATTTGCTTCACTGTATCGACATAGAACTGCAGTACAAAAATGTGCTAAATTATTACCCAACAAAGGCAGATGAAAAAGGACTTAGGACACATAAGGGACAGTCTAGTTCAGACATTTCAAGAATCAGTAGTTCACAGTATTCACTAAAAAAATGACAGCTGACCTGATCACCAAGTCGTGAAGCAAGAACAAGTGCAGGTCCCCACAACTGACCTTCTTGTGCACACTGCAAAGCCTCCTTCTTTTTTCCAGAGACAAGAAGGTTTTGTACCTCTGAAGCAGTTGTCTAGATTGGAATACAAATCAGTAAAAGATGCATATTTAAAAATTTCAGAGAAGGTTTGGTCAGGAGTTAACTGAATACACACCAGCATTTGTGCTTCAGAAGGCAAATTTTGGAGGCAGTGGCTTAGTTCACCATACTGAGTGAACTCCTTGCCACTCATCTTGGCAGATGCAAAAAGCTTTGCAACTGCTGACTCGGGAGTATCATTTTCCTGTATCAAATACAAACCCAGTAGGTAACCAAATCTGGAAGTGATGCCATCAGGGAATAGAATTAATGCACTAATACTATTAAATCCAAACTATCAATTGAGCATGATAAGTAAAGTAGGTGGATCATATTTTTTACACGTCAACCTAAATAATCCCATGACGTTCAGCAGCCATATAGATCATCAATAAAAAAAATCTGCAGTTTGTCTGAATACTTCCTAAGCCCTATTTGGACCTCTTAAATCCATAAAGTTCTTCTTGTGCTAAAGTAGGTACAGAAGATATCACACCCTCTAACATCTGTTTCCTTGTCAACCTAAAGAAATATGAATGATAATTAAGGTTGACATAATTGATCACAAGAATGACCTTTTGAACCAAGGAAGAGAATATGGCATTGCAGTCATTTTGAAAAGCAATTACACTTTTATAAACTACTAAAAAAAGCGGCAATTAAAAAATCAAGGGAAACAAAGGTGCAGATGTCATCTACAGAAGCATTAAAGAAACTTCAAAGGTAGCAAACATAAAAGTTCGAGCACTAGAGATCCAATAAATGCAATGATGAAAATTGATAAGATAACATTAAGAATTAACACTTAATAATGTTGAAATTAATTTAATGCACAGAGCAGTTCTTAACAGAACTTTTATCTATCTTGCAAATTATGGAAAATTCAATGAACAGTCATATAGACAGAAAATAATATGTTTAACTTACTCTTAGTATGGTGTCTGTACCAAATGGAGAACGTAGTTTTCCATAATGTTGACAAGCTATTCTAAGCAAGGAGAGAAGGAGTCTCAACCTTTCACCTTTCTTATAATCCATGTCAGCTAATCTGCAGTGTGCAATCCTCTCATCTATCCATTTGTACAGCTCTTTACTTCCAACACTCCCACCAACCAATGGACCTGGGAATGATTGCTGGCAGAGAGCATGAAAATAATCACCAGTGCCATTCCCAATGCTGGAAGAATTGATGTTTCCCTTGACAACTTCCATCAAGTTTAACACAGAAACAGAACCTTGCACAGCAGTCTTCAGATAAAAGTGAAGCTGTGTTAATCATTGCAAAAACCAAATGAAGCATCACTCAAAACTGAAAACATGAATCAAGATTTAACCTGGCTTCCATATGATGAGTTTGAAAAAGTAGAATCCTTCATTACAATGAGTTTTCCACCAAACCCAAAGGTTACTAAGGCATGAGGAGGACGTCCAGCTGATGATCTTCCAACATGAGGGGCATAAGAATACTGATTCCCACCCTGAAATGATTGCTGGGCCTGGGAGTAACTGAAGGGCTTCTGACTTTCGGCATATTCATCTAAATATTTTTTTCGTTCATCAAACTGCGTATTTGAATAATTAAAATGTTGAACAACATGCCCACTAGGGGCAAAGTTTTGCGGTTCAAGAGTTCCATTTGCCAAACCGTGATCATGGTTCACTTTATTGTACAATGCAACTGTTCCAAAGGAGCTAGAAGTATTTAGCTGATTTTTATTGACAGAAATACTTGTACCAAAAGAATGTTCAAATTGCTGGTTTCCACCAGTAGTTGCACCATCCCCACTTTTAGTTAAAGTGTCAGATGTGTGAGTGTCCAAACCCTGCTGATGGTTAACACCATATGAACCACTCCAGCTGTTATTTGCAACCTGACTACCAACGCCCTGCGTCCCATAATTGCCAGCTTGGCCATACTCTCTATACAAATTGTTAACATTTTGCGAAAGAGTACTAGTAGAAGCATGTCCATTTTCAAGTCCCTGAACAGCTGATTGAATAGATGAATTATAAGTCTCCAACAACCGCCATTCTTGGGCAATTGTGTCATAATACCAACCAGGATACTGAGGATCAAAAACCATATGTTCTGGATACCCACCATTCCCTTGTGAAACCTGATTCCAGCTTGATACACTTTCAGTTGAGCCAGTTTCAACTAATGTTCCAGAAACAGACTGAGCAGTTTGCTGCATATAAGAGACCTCCGCTTTCATATCAGAAGCAGCTGTCCAATCCACAGCCGTATTGGCTTCAGAGCTTCCCTGAGTACCAATTGATGCATTATGGTCATCTACTTGATACCATTGTCCAGTGCTGTGGTCATACTTCCAGCCAGGATAAAGATTCTCCCAATACGGACCGCTACTAAGATCTTGCCCATCTGTGCTATTTCCCAGAGATGCATCATAACCTTGATCCTCTTGATATTGCACATGATTAGCAGAGGAATTCAGCCCATCATTTGGAATTTCATTACCAGTTTTCACCTCAGTATTAGAATCATGATATGTTTTGCCAGATTGATCTCCCAAATCACTGAAAAAATCAGAATATGATCCAAACCCAACATCTCCATTTGAATCAGCATAAAAAGAATTCCAATCCACCTCCTTAACCCCTGAATCAGTCATCCCATTGCTCTTGCTCACAGTCAAACTCGATGTAATCTCCGATTTCGTCCCACGATCACCATGATCCATTGCACTATCACATTCAAATGAACTAGAGGGCACCAAAAAACTCCCCTCTTGTGCATTTCCGCCGTCCAATTTCACACCACCCTCTTCCTCTTCTTCCCGTTTCATCTCAATCCCACTTTCCCCAGAATCATCACTAATACCTAGACTCGCGAAAGCTTTAACGTCATCAGAATCATGGCCTTCATCATCATTGCCAGACTTAACAGGCTCAATATCATCCTCAACCAGTTTATCAAAGAAATCCTCATCCGTCTGATCCTCCACATGAAATGGAGGATTCGAAGCCATCACGCCAAAACCCTAACCCTTCTCGATCGACAGGAAAATTTTGATAATCAATTCGCCGGGAAATATTAAAAATTACGCCCAAACAATCCCTTACTTCATCTCCTATGATTCCAAACGTCGAGATCCAAGTTCGAAAAAGCCACCGTTCTCTCAACCCTTACCTCGAGTTGTAAACGCAAACCACCGAAACAGAAATAGGATCTGGAAATTCGAAATTCACGCAATCCAAAAACCACGAAGAAATTAAAAAATTAAAAAAAAAAAACATTACCCGGAATCTGCAAACTTTCGTTCTCATTCAAAGGCAGCGTTTTGTGCCGCGGAGCAGAAAAAAAAACATAAAAAAATGAAGTTGCGTTAGAGATCCATTTTCAGAATTAACAGAGAATAAGAGAGAGAAAAAACAAAAGAGAAGAGAGAGAGAGAGAGAGGGAGAGAGAGCGAGTCAGCAAACAGAGGAAAGCCCTCGATTTCGCACCACGCCACCTACTACCAAGAACACAACTACGACGTTTTTTCAATTTTAGATTATTTTTGTTTTTATCATTGTTTTATTTTATTCACATTTCTCTGGTTTTTCTTTATATATATATATATATATATATATATATATATATATATATTTTATTTTTTTTTTACATTTTACGGCCAGATATGTATAATGCAATTATCATTTACCTATAAATAAATAATGCAGTTATTATGTGTTTTGAAAGAAGCAAAAACGAGTACGTGTATTTGCATGCAACAGCAACTTCCACATCCGGTATTTAGTTGCAGCCGTTGCATGTGTCATAGGACAGGGTATTATGGTCAAACTCCTAAACTGTAGAAAATGACCCCAAAAATTTAGAAAGATAATTGAGTAATATATAATTGGAAGAATTTTTATTCTCTGTTTGTTAATAGGAAATGCCATAACTAGTTTAACTTTCATCCCTGTTATTATTAACTTATCAATACCAGTTGAATAATTGAAAGCTTGAAACTACTAAATTAAACTAATGATTCCACCTGTATCTGACAGCAAATATTCAATGTGGTTGTTTTCGTTTATTTTTATATTAAAAATCTTATTTTCATTTTTCAAATTATTTGTATTTTTGTTAAATTATATAACTTTCTTGTATTGAGTATTTACTTTTTTTATTATTAATTTTTATTTATTTAATTTAATTAAAGTATATTTCTTTTTTGAATAAATTACATGTCTTGTTTTAATATATTTTTAAATTATTTTAATTAAAAAATTAAAATAAATATTTAATATTTTAAATTTTAAGCACTCATACAATGCATAGAAATTTTATTGATTAAAAGTTTTTTTGTTCTAACTATGTTTTAAAAGATATATTGAACTCTACTCAACGCTCAAGCTTAGATTTTCAGTTTGATATTATATGATTTAATATTTTCTTTTATTCTAAAATCTTATGTCTTCCTCTATCCAAAGAGGAAAAAATGTCTCCACGCTCTTAAGAATTGTAATCCTAATTGTAATAATTAATATTAAATATTAATAAGAGATACTCCATTGGACTATTACCTACCATGCATGTATAACGTAATAATTACTAGAGGTATTTAGAACTTGATCTCATCTTTTAATTTATTATTTACTGGAATATTTTGAATTTAAATTTTACCTCTTAAATGAGAAAGTCGCATTTATGTTGTGTTTAAACCTAACTTGTTAGGGTAAATTTTGATTAATATTCAAGTCAATTTAGAACAACTTGCACATAATATATTATTTAAAATTATTCAATTTAATAAAATATCATTTATCATTTATATTTTATTTTATCATCAAGCATTACTAATTTGACTTAAAACTTCTTTTAATTATTTATTTTTTAACCTTTTTATCATCATTAATACTATATTTAAAATGCATTTAACTATATAACTTATGTAAGTGCTTATTCAATTTTGTAAATAATAATTTATGTTATAATTTTAATAATTAAATTTATTAAAATAAATTTTAAATAACTTATAACAGTCATAAGCTATTTTTTATAAAATGTTTATAATTTTTTTTCAAATAAACTCTAGCTACTTTAAATACTATTGCTTTTTTTAGGTAAATTATTATTTTATATAAAATTATTAATTTTTATATGCATGCAAAGAAGTTAAAGCTCAATAACAGAATAAAAAATTTTTGACGTACGAGGAAAAGGAACACCCTACATATATTCCCTAATAAAATGGTCTGAATGCTGGTATGCTCCTATCATAACAGTGATATCCCAATGATAGAGAGTGGCCATGATTTGCCGATAAATCGGCACAACGGTTGTTTTTATTATTATTTTTCTTTAAGATAATGTTAAATTTAAAACCTTTATTCTCGAAGGATCTTCCAAATATTTCTAACTATCCCAAAACAACCGATGAAAAATTGGATAAAAATTCAAGATCAAGGTATAGGAATTTTTGGGCTCGAGTTCATTCAAAATTTAACAAAATGGTAAGGAAATTGTTTATTGTGCTCATCCTATCAACGTTAAGTAGAATGATAATTGCTAAGAAATAAAAGTAATCTAATAACCCTAACGTGAGTTACCTATCCTAAATTAAACCTTCAAAATCGGCATACGTTGCTAAGCATTTTACCTTAACTTATGATTTTTTTCATTTCACGTTTTAATATTTCAATGTATTTATCATTGATATGTCGGTAAAATAAATAGTTATTCTTATTAGTTTAACATATGTAAAATTATATAATTTAAGATGGGTTGAATTATTTTATTTAATTTTTTTTATCATTCACATTTATATATTTAAGCAGTTTCATGGATTTTAATGAGTAGTTCTTTTCAAAGTTTACTTAGGTGAATTTTAAAGACGCTTAAACAAATTTATCTTAAAAAATGTGAATCATACAATGAATTATTAATCTTTATATGTAACAATTCTTTAAAAAATTTGTTTAAATGAATCAAAGTATCAATTTAAAAAATTTATTAGACTAAAATTGCTTAAATGAGGTGATATTTGCTTAAATGATCCCACAACTACTAAAATAAAGTTATTTTAGTACAAACATTATGGAGTGGGGGTGACATAGGACATTGCCACTGACTATCTTGTAAGGTTAATGGATTACTTAACTATCTTGTACAAAAGAGAGTTTTGCTACACAAATCAAATCTTCATATGCCTTGAACTTACTTCACTTAAGCATTGTGGAAGAGGTGATAGTGGATATTGTCACTATACTTTAAGAAGAAATTTATCAATTTGTCATCCCGACCCCTTCCCTTTTTTGGTAGTGACAAAGTCATTGAGATTCCTAGCTTTTATCATCACCCTCTATTGTATCCATGGAATTCAAATCCCCACCCTCTCCCAACTAGTCATTTGATTGAAGAAGATCATCAATGTGGATTTCATCAAGAACTATTAGATTAACCTAATAGAGTAGACTAATGCAACTTCTTCTCAATCCCGGCCATTAACAACAGCTAAAGCACCACCATCATTCCGGTCTCCCGCAATCACCACCTCAGGCATCGCTTCAGCCATGGAGGCTTGCCTCACTAAGCATCTCACGCACATCTAGCAATAATGGGCTACCTATCATTGGGCCTTCACTCAATTAAACGACCCTTCTATCGGTTCACTCTAACATCAAAATAGCATTTTCCCTTCTCATAGGCCACACTTGAAGTCTTTACTTCATATGTCTCATGGCCTAAGAATAGTCCTAGCTTCCCAAAAGAGGAGGAGCAACATGAGGATGCAGCAGATCAAGGGGAGGAAGACTTGTATAACTAACAACATCATGGTGATGATGGAAAAGACCACATGGAGGAGGAATTTTTAGCAAGCCAAAACTTTTTGCTTTATTTATTGATTATTTACATACATTATTATGTAAATTTTGCTTTCATCGATTTGCTTAGTTTAGTTCCATTTTAACTTCTCACTAATATTACTCATAGTTTATTGAAACTCTCTTTACTATATATGAAATCATGTTATTCGACTTGGTCTTTGTTTTATGAATAGAATTAAATTCGTTTTAATTGATTGTTGATGTTAAGGTTTGAGAGAAAACCACTTAGGCTAGCCTAATGTAGACAAAATTTGTTAGGTTTTGACATATGAGATCGTTCTAATATTTCGTCTTTTTAATATATGAAACTATTTAAAAAGAAGTTTCGCACATGTAATGTGTGAAACTTGTGACGACGGGACAAAAATCTCTAAATAGGGAATTAGTTTTCAAATAATATCATTTTAATAATTTATTTTTAAAATATTAAAAAAATAAAAAAGCTGCATCATAAATAATTATTTAGAGTCAACACAAAAGTATAATTGATGATTTTGTTCAATTATTTGAATTGTCATTGTGTATATGATACTTGAAAATGATCAAAGCTTGTTATTTTTATTTTTTTTAAACCTTAAGATCAGAGTGCTAATCTAAAATGTTATTTTTTATTTACTTCAATTGAACTTAATATATAGTTCTCTATTTTTTGTCCTATCTCCCATAAAGAAAAATAAGACTTTCCAACCACATGTAATGGAATTAAAAGAGCATTCAAGGTTGTAGAAATGAATAAAGATTCATGGTAATCGCTTCTTATAAATTATATATAAAAAAAATTGTAAGAAAAGAAATTTTATGAGAATAGATTTATATTGTGGCTAATTCAACAAAGATAACCAAGAATGAAGTTTAAACAAAAAAAAAAAGTTTATACTTGTTGAAAATTAGTTGAATCTTCTTCCAACATCCGTTGAACTCGAAGTAAAAAACCTCGCATGTTTCTTTCCTTTTGATGTATTAAAATTAGTCTCATGACAATGAATAATTAATCTCTTTTTAGTTGAGGTTAAATATAACTTGCAAACTCTTATGTACTATTTTGAAATATATTTATCAATGTTATTTTTCTTTTATCAATATTAGTCATTCTTTCTCGTTCTTAATACTTATTACGTTTTAATCCTAAAAATAATTAATTAATTACTTAGTGTTTTATTAGAAAATCACTTTTTAAATTAAGAGTTGAAACAAATTACTTAATAAAGCATGTTATTAAGAATAGAATGTTGTTTTATTAGTTATATAAAACATAATATTAAATACGAGAAACTTCTGTCTATAACTTAAAATCATAGTTTTAAGAAATTAGGATAAGAATATACATATTTCAGATATGATATATATATATATATATATATATATATATATATATATATATATATATAGTTATGTGAAGTTTAATCTCAACATTTCCTTTTTTCTTTTTTTTTTTAAATTAAATTTTGATTTGTGCAAATAATTTTCAAAAGTTATGCTTTTAAATACTTTTTGTATATATTTCAATAAATTTACAAAAATAAATATTTAAATATTAAAAATCAAATAAACTCTCATAAATATGATATTCCTATTCTTTTTCACTGAAACAAAAACTTTGTACATTTGCAATGTCATAAAAATGTTATTT